CGAACCCCTTCCCCCCACCCCCCCGGAAATGACTTTAGTCTTAGTCGTCGTCCCCTGTGAATTTGAAGTACCCCCCCCCCCCCCCAGAGAAAAAAGTCTGGAAGAAACACTGGACTCCTGTATTACGAAATTACTGCAAAATGTACGGGAAAGGCCAAAAGATTACGTTTAAAATTGAACATTGTCGCGACTTATTGTATAGCGCCATTAGAAACTAGAGCTGACCCCCCCCCCCTTTCCCCCATCCCCCACCCGACACACACCCCATCGTCATTAGAACTCAGCACTTACAGTAAGAACTTTAGAACGTACGCACTGCAATGAAAACCGCGTGCCACCCCACCTCATTTGACCTATTTGAAGTTACAGGCTTGTTGTATTGATTTCAGGGCACTTAATTTATTTCCCGCCTCTAGACCTAGCTAGCCGGACGCAAGCAGTCTTCCCCATCCGCTGTCGCCAAGTTTAAGGCTACGCGCCCTCACAAAAAAACTCAAAATTCTACTGGCCGCGGCACTGCGCATGTCCGCATAATTTATGGCTGTTTAATATTCTAGAGACACTTACAACATCACACTCCCGCACGTGTTTTGTTACACAACTAGCAACGTGTCATCGCTATTTATAGAATATTCTGATGGCATGTACAATCGTTATGAAAATTGTCGCTAGTTTGTATCCAAACGCTCCGAAATGTTGTAGACCAGGTTATTGTCCTTTAAAAAAGGTCTCTTATCAAACAAAACGCATACAAATTTGTTTCTCCGTTCCCCATCAACCCCGCTCTCTACCTTTAGAATCGGACATAGGCCCGTGGAAACTGACCTACAGTACTAGTAGTATACTAGTTTAACTCCCTGCTTTCCTTAATTGGGACACTTTTTAAATTAAGTTCTTAAAACTGAATCAGTGCAATATTTAATTGACGTTTATGATTATTACATTTAATCAAATTTGTATGAGTGATTTTTTTTAAATTATAAACCATACATTCAAACTTCAAGAAAATATTTTAACTCTAAATAGTTTCCCTTGATTTTCCCCCAAGTTAAAAAAAGGCGAAGTATTGATTATGTGGCACGGGTGGTCTAACAAATCCCCTTACATTGTGAGCATGTGACTTGTGGCCTATCATTAGCTAGCCTATCATTAGAACAGGCTTCTCTGTAAGGGAACGTTGGCTAGAAAAATGAAAGGGCATCAGGGGAAACAACCCGCTTTTTATTTAACCTAACTCTTCAATGTGAAAAAAAAAGAAAATGCGTCCTGTTGAAATTATTGTTTTATTTATATTTATTAACATTTTATTTTAGTAACCTTTGGTTTAAATCAGTATTCATATACAATAATTTTAAGATCTGAAATCTAAACCCGATATTTAAAAAAAATTAAAAATTAAATATAAGTTTATCAATGTTTAAAATAAGTTGCTAAAAATATACTCAGTCTAATGAATCTTTCTCTCAAATTTCTTTTATGTGTCAACCTAATTAATAGATCTAGTTTTTTACTGTTTAAAAACTCATTAATTTTTCTTTTAAATTTAAATTAGTTATGAATTTTTCATACATTTTTCATTTGTAATTTGATATTAATTTAAGTAGATAGGCCCCATAAACAGGATTAAATTATCAATATACTATACCATTTCCATTTGTCCCTTTTTCTTTACCTTACATACACATATTTTCAAATGTGCCTATAGATCAATAACCTCACAATCCCTGTGGTAAGATATCGACTTTTGTAATGAAACTAATAAAGTAAAGTAAAATTCCTCTGATGTGTTTCTTGACATCTTGACATCGGCATATGAAGAGAGGGTGTGGTCACCATTATGCCCAGCTGCCTTTTCTTTAACCCAATGCAAGTCAGGTACCCATCAGAGCTGGGTGGACTCAGGGATGTCTTATATTCACAGCCTCAAGATCTGAACTTAATACTTTCGGTCTTGCAGCCAATGGCACTGAAACTAATAATACAACAGGAGAAAAGAATTCCCTAACTCACAAAGTTTCCCTTTCAAACCTGACGGTCTATGGGGCAAGTTAAGTAGAGTTCACTTGTTTCTGTGACCTCGGCGTATGAAGAGATAGTGTGGTCAGCACTATGCCCAGACACCTTTACTTTTCCTATCGTGAGTTAGGTACCCATCAGTGTTGGGTGGACTCATGGACGGTCCTACTGACTTGAACCCGGATTCGAACTCGAGACTTACGAGTTAGCAGTCCAGCTCTCTACCGCTAGACCACTCCGTCCCATTAACTCACAGAACCTATTTTAAATTTCAGTCCGCCAGCCTTTTAGAGCCTGATATTGATGACAACACATCCAACGCCTCGTCAGATGAGAATCAGGAGATCGTTGAAATCCTCAGCCCAGAAAATTCTGCCGGCTACACCAGCGCCAACACTGACAAGAACCTCAGCACAAACTTCAAGAGCAAGCTTCAGATAAGGTCTCCCTCGGAGACTGGCTCGCAGTCCTCAGAGGATGACGACTTTATGCTGGAGTTCAAATCCACGCCAGACGGACACCTGGAGATAAAGTTAACGAACTACACGCAGAGGACGGAGGAGAGTGGGGTGGGGGAGGACATGGATGTAGCGGAGTCTGCACCAAAAGGTGGGGCATAGGACTTATAAGGGGTGGCTGCTGAAATGTGGGGGGGGGGGGGGGGGGGGGGGGGGGGAGGACATGGATGTAGCGGAGTCTGCCCCAAAAGGTGGGTCATAGAACTTATAAGGGGTGGCTGCTGAAATGTGGGGGGGGGGGGGGGGGGGGGGGGGCAGTGTGTGATAGGATGGATATGTGGGGGTGGGGGGCAGTGTGAGGGGGTGAAGAGCTGATGCCTAAAATTAGGGGTGAGATGGATATTTTTTTTTAATCCCAATTATTCGATACATATTTTAATGTTTTTAATTTTGAAATGGAGTAAAAAAATTTTAACTATCATTAACAGATACTTAAAGCTTGACATTCAGACAAAATGTACAAAGGGCGTGCACAGAAAAGTCCTGTCAACTTTTTGTTTCTCTCTCCCCCCCCCCCCCCCCCCCCCCCCCCGCCTCACCAACACAGAAAAGTTCTGTCAACTTTTTGTTCCCCCCCCCCCCCCCCCCCCCCCCCCCCCCCCGCCTCACCACCACAGAAAAACAGAAAAGTCCTGTCAACTTTTTGTTCTCTCATCTTCTCTCCTCCTCCCCCCCCCCCCCCCCCGCCTCACCACCACAGAAAATTCCTGTCAACTTTTTGTTCCCCCCCCCCCCCCCTCACCACCACAGAAAATTCCTGTCAACTTTTTGTTCTCTCCCCAGCCTCAGGCTCCAAAGGCTCCTCACCAATCCCCAGGGGAAGCAACCACAGTGGATCCTGTGATAAAAACAAAAAAGAGGACTCAAAGTCTAGAGATCTTTACTCCAACTATACTGATGAAAAAGAAGTTCTTTCATCTATAAATCAGTCCTCATGTTTAATGGATACAGATATTATTGTGTAAATATAAAGAAAATTCTATTATCTTTTTGAAAATATAATCTTACAATCCAATTTAATGTTACATTTAATTAGTCCAGTAGTTAAGGCTAAGTGTTAAAGTTTGTCACTACTACTGGAATTCGATTACAAAAAAACAAAGCATGAAATATTTCACCTTTTATTCCAGATCTTACCTGAAGAAGTTTGCCACAGAGATCATGTATTCTGGTTTTGTTGATCTGGTGGAGAATATTATGGTGAGTTGTTTTTTTTTTTGTTTGTTTTTTTGTTATCATTTTTCTTAGTCTTGAGTTATCAGGCTTGAGTTTCTCCAATGTCTGTAAGTCTGCTCAGCTCTGATGTGTACCTAACCAGAATCCACCCATCTCTAATAGGTACCTGACTCAAGTGAGAGAAAGTATCGCTGGCTGTAGATCCTATTTACTAGTTCCAAATGGGAACTTGAATTGTGTTGCACATTAGAGAAATTCTGGCAATGACTTGACACCTACTGGTGACATTCAATATCCACATTCCAACAATGTTTTTATTTATATCAACTTAATGAAACAAAGGCTGATCAAGGGCATGTTATGAACATAAAAAATGATGTAGCTTGAAAAAGTCTTTTTTTTTTTTTACAGAAAGCACTTCTTACCAAATATGACAGCATTCTTGACCATTCCTTTTTAATGTGGACAGTTGGGTTTTTTCTCAGTTTTGCTCATCAACAAGAATTGGACTTTAATCATTTTAAGTGAGTTTTATTTCACATTATTTCTTCACTTTAGTTTTATTTCAGATTATTTCTTCACTTTAAATTAGTGTTATTTCACATTATTTCTTCACTTTATATTAGTTTTATTTCAGATTTTATTTTAATCAGATTATTTGTTCATTTTAAATTAGTTTTACCTCAGATTACATTATAATTTTTAACAATTTAATTTAAAGTGTTGTCTTTTTCAAAACTTGAGTTTTACTACTGATCACATTGTTGCTTGGAATCATCAAAAACTGATCCCATCCTGATATTTCTCCTCAGAGAAGTTTTGAACCTGGACCTGTTTGGGTTCCTGGTCTACGAGGCGGTCAAATGCTGCGAGGCTCTGGATGTCAAGCACCAGAAGAAACAGGACTGCGCTGTAGAAAAACACAGGTAAGGTTTTTTGTTGACCAATATCTCCTGGTCTCTGTCCTAAAGGCTGCCTCACTTCCACCCTCCTCCTGAACTAAAACAAGGAATCTTATTTCAAAGCTTCAAATCACAAATACTCTGGTCAATTCAGTTTTAAAAATAGACGTCTTGAACTTATCATGTGATAAAATCCATACAAGTATCACAACTCTGAATAAAGATCAAACAGTTGGGAGATGATGGATGTAGTCTTGCACATCTTCTACATGATTGATTGGTTGTTCTACATGATTGATTGGTTGTTCTACATGATTGATTGGTTGTTCTACATGATTGATTGGTTGTTCTACAAGATTGATTGGTTGTTCTACAAGATTGATTGGTTGTTCTACATGATTGATTGGTTGTTCTACATGATTGATTGGTTGTTCTACATGATTGATTGGTTGATTTCTGTAGAAGAGGTTTACACTCCAGCTGTTTGATCTTTATTTGGCGTCTGCTTTTGAAATCCTTGCATGTTGTTTATCATGTTTGGCTTGAAGGAAACACTTTGTGATTGTATGCTTGTGAAACAGATTTTTTGTTAAAAAAAATTAGATATCTTAATTTAAAAGTATTTTATGTTAAAATAAATTTTAATTACTTTTAAGGTATCATTTTTACTTTTTGATTGCTCATGCTCTGACTTAGAACTCATTTGCATTTTTTATCCTGATGTGTACTTTGTGTTTGCTTGATGTTAAGAAAGATAGTTTATGGATTGAGATTATTCAGAAATTTTTTAAACACCTTGTGGTACTTCAAGTTTTTGTAGCATTAGCCCATGCCTAGCATCTCATGTTAGCACTTTTATTGCTTGCTTTTACAAAATTTTAGTTTTTTTAATTTAGATCTAGATCTATCTGAAATCGTTTGAGTTTATTTGTAGAAAGTATTTTAATTCCTTCAGTTTTGAAAATATTTTTTTTTTGCTCAGCCATCTACCTGATGCAATATATTTATTTTAAATTGAAATTATTTCAAACTTTAAAATTGTTTGTAAAAATATAGGCACAACTAGAAGACACCATATCATAAAATGTTTTTTAGAATTCTAAATTCTGAAATATTTTGATAAAGCTTTACGTTAGACCATTTCAATTATCAATAAAATTATAGATTTTCAGAAAATATGCCTTAAAATTTAACTAGAATTATATTATACTTACAAGAAAATAATTTACTTAGTAATAGTAGGCGTACAGCCATTTTGCTGTTATAAACGTAGTAGAAATGTCACTTGTTGGGAAGATTATAGAATTGATGCTCAAACTTTGCACAGACATTTAATGTAGAAATTGAGAGCTTTTTAATAAATATAAATTTATAATGAATATTTTTATTTTTCTAGTTTCTAAAATAAATGAACGCTTCAAATACTATTTTAAAAAGTGTATTAAGGCTTAGTAATTGTTTAGTATTATTCTGTTTTTTATAACCAGGAATCAATAAGTTGATATTTACATTTTTAATTAATTGAAATTCAGTAACGTACTCAAGTAATTATAATTCAGTAACGTACTCAAGTAATTATGTTGAAATTTTTTAAAAAGTTGACTGTTACGACCCAACTCCCCTTGCCCAAAGCAGATCAATCAATGTTAATCAGCCTACTGTTAAAACTGAGCTATTAATAAATCACCAACTAAATGAGCCCATTCCAGCACTTCTAGCCTCAAAATTGTCTCATGAAACTTTTTATAGTAACCGTAATCCAAATATAACATGGGTCATGGTTGAAAGGAACAAACACTCTCACTCAAAGAGTGACAATTTTTATTTTAGCAATCTTGGATTTTTTAATGAAAAATTTACTCTTTTAATTTCTATCTCTTTAAATACTTGAAAACTGTCATTCTGATATTTTAGTTACACCGTGTTTTAAATTATAAAAAAAACATACTTTTTTTAAGGTTTCTAAATTCTTTACATAAACTGGAAATAACTATTACACCGTGTTTTAAATTATAAAAAAAACATACTTTTTTTAAGGTTTCTAAATTCTTTACATAAACTGGAAATAACTATCTAAAAGCAGCAATCGATTAATGACAACATTGTGATATAAATGCATCTGTTGGTTGCCTAGGGGCTAAACAGATTGTGACTGACTGTGTAAGTTGCTGCAGGATAACTAAAAAAGTAGATGGTGCACTCTATAATGTTCTGTAGGTTTGTTTGATTTTGTTACAACAAAAATAAACCTGAAGCCACTTCTTACACAAACTTAGCCTGGAATTGTACATGAGATAAAGAGAGCTTGCAGCTGTGCACATTACAAGACCATGTGGTTTGATGTAGTCCACACTAGAGACTAGCAGTATAAAATTTTCAATACAATTTTGCAACAGTTTACTAAAAAAAAAACTGCAGGTAATGATTGAGCTTGATGGATCAAAGTGGGGTCAAATGTTAAACTTAACTTTTAAGAAACCTCCTGTCTGTTGTTTCAATAATAATTTTATTTTTTATAGTTAAATAAATTTGGCCACATTAATATTAGACTAGGTTACAGATACTTAGATTCTCTCTTTGTTTTGTATGTCCTCTTTTTATGATTGCATTCATATAAAATTTTCTTGATATATTTTTAAGCTGCTAAATTTGAAAATTTGCAAAAGCATACGGAGTTAAAACATTAGACTTGTATGTAAGTATGTATGTATTTGTTTATACATATCAGTATGTCTGTATTGAAATTGTTCTTATCCACCACAACCCATCACATATTTGGATGGATTTCTCCATTTCTTATTGGATGGATTTTTGGATGGATTATTCCATTTTTAAAACTGATTCAAACATCTATTTAAAGTAATGAAAACAAAAATTGGAATGGGCCATTATGCTATCAGTGTATCTATTTATATTTATCATTGCTTGAATTTTTACAGGACTTTATGTTTGTGTAATAAAAGATTTTAAAAATTACATACTAAAAATTATTTGGTCAAATTTTGATCTTAAGGGTTTAAAGCAAATTTCTATAAAAAAAAATTCAATTCTGTTAAAAGATAAGTTGAGAACACAAAACTGTTTTTAAACTGTTTCATGGTTATTTGAATACAAAGTGTCACTTCTATGTTTAGTTGACTAACAACTTTCAACATGAAATTTTTTGTCCGACTAATTCATTTTTCTAACCTAAAATTTGATGAAGGAACTGAATAATTTCAGCCATCGTTTTTTGCACATGGGCAAGGTTGGTGTAGGGTTCTGCCACTTTGGTAAGGACGGAGGAAAATTAAAATAATATCATGCGTTCTAAATGGGTTGAGACTTTCTTAAAAACTGGAATTGTTGGGACCCTGGGTTCCTCTTGTTGCCTGTCCTATGTGCGCTACAGCAGGTAGGTTCCATTTCATTTTCCATCTCGTCTGGTGTCACTGCCACAGGCAACATTTAGACCAGGTGTGTTGACCAGGTGTGTTGACCAGGTGTTTAGACCAGGTGTTTAGACCAGGTGTTAGACCAGGTGTGTTGACTCGTCTTAAAGCAGGTGTGTTTAAGTGTTGAAATAATTTCACATTGGCTGTTCCTTGCTGGACACTGACCGTAGCTATGCCTTGTGTTTTGTATGTTTGTATGTTACTAGCAAGCTGTGTTTGCTTCTGATATGAGAATTTGTTGCATTTGTTTTCCATTTCATCTTCCACACCTTTAAAGTAAATTTTCATTTTTTTTTTAAAGAAAATCAATCAAATAATTTCTTTAAGAATCATATTTTATTAATATTTATACTGTCACATTTTGTTCTTGTATCTGATCAAGTAGGCATTGGCAGCAGATGACCAGAGAACTTGTATCATACAACTAGTGTAACCTGGTGCTTTTCTGTACTTTCAGAATGCATTTGGTGGTGTGTACACTGAACCAGATGTTTCGGACTCTGCTTGCCAACAGTAAGATGGAATACCTGAAAGACCTCCAGAGTAAGTTGACATAAACATCACCAGATTAGCTTTGTATCGTCACCATCATATTTTGGTGCCCTAGACACACGGGGCCACCACAGAAAGCTCCCTCCACTTCTGTTGGTCACCGGCAATTTTCTTGGCAGTCCCCCATGACAGTCCTGCCTCTGCCGCTGTGCACCTCCAAGTCTTCCTTGGCCTTTCTTGCTTCCTTTTTCCTTGAGACGTCCAGTTTAGCTTTGTATCACCAGGGAGAAATCAATTTGACAGTAAAAAAATATATACATATCTTATTCTCAAATATATTTTAATCCTGGTGTTGTTTTTTTTATGATAGTAACTTATATAAATTTAGATTAGCTAATTTTATGTAATATTTTTTTTATTATTTCATATTTTCTATAAAGCATTTAGGAGAAAATATTTGTGTTACTGTATACAAAAATATCTAGTATTTTTGTTTTGCTTCATATGTGCATTAGTTAAGAAACTTAATGGAACTGTCATTTTATTAAGTGCTACTCTCTCTGTTAATCATGACGTGAATTACTAACACTGACCTAAATGAATCACTAATACTGACCTAAATTTTTCCCCAGAGTGCCTGAGTCACATGACTGACCTGCACAATCTCTTCATCCTCTTGATACGGCAACACATTCCCAAACAGCAGAACGCCGTGTACCTCAGGGACCTGATCCAGACCAACCATGTCCTCATGTTGATGATAGAGGAGTGGCTCTCACAGGGTTTTATAGGGGAACATTGTGGCTTCAGCATGCTCAGTCATGTCAAACAGTAAGTTTACAGTGGCTGTCACAGGGTTTATAGGGAACATTGTGGTTCTCACAGGGTTTTATAGGGGTACTTTTACTTCAATTTACAAAGTTTTTATAGATGAACATTATTATTTTACAATAAACAGATTTTTTTTCATTACAATTGGCTTATTTGGCACATATGTACGCTGTTAAATATATCTGGCAGCCTTGATGAAGTTGGCCAGTGCTATAAAGTGTACCTTTCTGTATATCCTCTCAGATTTGCCACCAAAAATGTGATGGCCAAGTACGGAACACTGCTGGAACATCAGGAGTTGAACAAGGACACGTTGAATGTGGCCGTGCTGACCATGATGTATCATGTGGCGGGAGACTGCAGACGTCAGGACACATTGATGCAGCTGCCGATCCTCAAGTCTTTCTCAGAAATCTGGGTGGATAACGCTGTTAGAGAACATGTTAGTTCTTTTTCTTTTGTTTCTTTAATTTTGTTGATTCAAGTTTTTTGTTTCTTGAATTTTCTTGATTCAAGTTTTTTGTTTTTGGAATTTTGTTGATTCCAGTTTGTTTCTTGAATTTTCTTGATTCAAGTTTTTGGTTTCTTGAATTTTGTTGGTTCAAGTTTTTGGTTTCTTGAATTTTATTAATTTATTTTATTTTAAAAATAAAAAATAAAAACATTTCTTTTAAAAATTTATTCCAATTTTATTTTTAAACTATCTTTTACCTTGCCTGCAGGAGGAATTCAAAGACTTGATAGAATTTGTGCTGGAAGTTTTCATGTCCGATGCTGAGAAAGATCCAAATTTGTGCGCTCAAAACTTGTTTGATTCCCCTCAAGCCCAGAAAAGTCAGCCACTAGGCAGTGGCAGTGGCAACACTAGTGGCAGTGGAAGCTGCATCAATAGTGGGGATGTAGAGAGGTAAGAACATGTTGATAGTGGAGAGTTACATTTGTATTTATATTAAAGTTAAAAGCTAAAGATCTCTTGTGTGGAGAGTTACATTTGTCTGTATGACAACTTTTCACAGCTCCATGAATGTGAGCAGCAGCTGCTCGGCCGAAGACTTCACGGACGACGAACAAATTCTCATCTTCACCTGGATGTCTGAGCTAGAGGGAGACAACCACATCATTGAGATCGTCACCAAGAAACTTGCTGACCATGGCTATACCAAAACCAAAGACCAGGTCACTAGCTCATGCATTGTTTTATTTATATAAGTTTTTCAGTTTGTAACTTCATTGCAACATTAAAACATGGAATTGAAAAGAAATCAGACAATTATAAAAACCTGTATGAAAACAAACTTTTAAATGCTCTAAATTACAAATTATATATATTAATTTTCTTTATAGCATAGAAATCTTTGCAATGAATATATGTATAATGTATATCTATATTTTAGTTAACATAAAAGTTTGTCCTCATATATACTTAGATTTTAATTGTTGTTTTCTTTTCTGCTTTTTAATGTTGATTATTAGTTTAAAAAAATAATAATATAAAGTCAGTATTTAATTTATCTAAAAAGTTTTGAGTCTAGACAAAATATGTTTGCTTTATACCTGATTAATAGATTGTGACTTGATCTGTAAATGGGTATTACCTGCCCCTGAATAGTGTCCATCTTAACTGCCAGGTTTTAAAGCAACATATAAACATCTGTATTACTTGAATGATTTCATTTTTTTTAAAAAAACATATTTTTTAAGTATCATTTGTTACAGCCACAGCTAGACATTTGAAACGGTTTTAATAGAATTTTTATTTTATATTTTTAAAGGTCTCAAAATATCTCAGTGACAATGGTTTTATAGAAGATTCATCAAATTCCTATACTGGCTCAAAAGTAAGTTGTACAAGATTCATTTATCTGTTTCATAGAATTATCAACATCATTTTCTGTTTTTTAATCTTTCATAGAATTATCAGCATCATTTTCTGGTTTTTAATGTTCCATAGTTATCAATATCATTATGTGGTTTTTAATGTATTCTGAATGAATGGACATGTCATACATTTGCCATACAAAATTTGGCTTCAGTAGCTAACAAAATATTTGCAGGAAAAACAATACTTTGTTGTATTTTACTTAATGTATTCCTGTTTGTTTAGTTGTGTTCACAAAAGTGTGTATTCTCTCCCCTAGAACCAAGGTGCATCCAACATAGAAGAAAACATTCTCCAAGAGTTATCCTCCCTGTCTGAAGACAACCTGATCCCCTTCCTACTGGACAGGCTACAAGAACAGGGCTTTGAATCTCACATTGTCTGGCTACAGAGGCAGTTGCTAGAGGCTGCCTATGTTAAACTAGGTACATTGCTTTCTCTCCTCTACTTCAACAACTCTTGTTGAGATAGTGATGGTGTGACAGGCTCAACCAAGTCACATGATCAGGCAGTCGGGGTCACCAAGGTCACATGATCAGGAGGTTGGGGTCACCTAGGTCACATGATCAGGAGGTTGGGGTCACCAAGGTCACATGATCAGAATGTTGGAGTCACAGAGGTCACATGACCAGAAGGTTAAGGTCACATAGGTCACATGATTTGAAGGCCAAGGTCAGTGTCACCTAGGTCACATGATCTGAAGGCCAAGGTCAGAAAGGGAGCATACAATTACTCCAAAAACTCTTTAGTTCTGTCCACATGACAGATGAGGCTTTGGCTGGGACAAAAACTCCAAGACCAAACAACTGCCACCTTTGCTGATTGTTCTTGTAAATCCAGAAAGATAAGCAGGCTGAAATCTGAGTCAATGGGCCATTTGGTGCATTACATGTTGACATGTAATACTCAGTTGTGTTGCAGGAAATAACGTCCAACATTACAATTTATAAATGAAGAAGAAAAAAAGGAGGACAAAAAGGAAAAATGGCTGTGCATTATACTGGCAAAAGCCTGTTCAGATGAACTATTTGCCATTATTTGCCCTTAGGACTATTGTTTTTACTTTTTTTTTTGGATACCCTGTATTAAAAAAAAAATGTTACTGTTTTAATGATAGTTGTTTCTTCAACAATTTTTCCAGCTATCAAAGAACCTTCTTACAGAGTTCATGTTGAGGAGCCAGTCGCAAAGTTTTATGCTCGTAAGTAGATGTTTACATTGTTTCAAATCTTAAAACTGTCAAGTTTACAAGTTTTTACCGAATTTAAAACTTTTATATTCAATTTTGTTACCATTGATTTGATGGATTTATGATTTAATTTTGTTTTTTAACTCAAGGATAAAATAATTTATGTTTCTTCTGTTCTAATCCCCAGTCCAAAACAAACCCATTCCCATAATTCCATGGAACGATGATCTGCAGGCCGCCTTAGCCAACCCATACTTCCATTTACTACAGCAGAGTCTGGGCATCTACACATACGATGACCCAAACATTATCTTTCCACGTATACCTCAGTATCTCACACCCACTCTTCTCGTTAACAAAGCTCGTCAAATTGGCCCAATTAACTCCTGTGAGTATTTCCTTCCATGGTTTAAACAACAAGCTGCTAATTTGCTGTTAAGTATCAGTAATTAAAACATTTACAATTCTTGACAATGCTACTAAATTGATCTTAAAATTTAGCAGTAATTAGAACGTTTAAAATTCTTCACAATGCTACTAAATTGATTGTTAAGATAAAGCAGAAATTAAAACATTTAAAATTGTTGACAATGCTACTTACTAATTTTAAAATATAGCAGGAATTTAACATTTTTAAATTCTTGACAATGCTACTAAAATAATCAGGAATTAAAACATTTAAAATTCTTGACAATGCTACTAAAATGATTTTAAAATATAGCAGGAATTTAAAAATTTTAAATTCTTGGCAATACTACTAAAATAAGCAGGAATTAAAACATTTTAAAAGAAAGAGATACAATAGTAAACAAGTCTAGTTATAAAAATGATTGTATAATCAATTACTTACTTTAAAATATTTCAACAAGTCTAGTTATAAAAATGATTGTATATTCAATTACTTACTTGAAAAATATTTCAACAAGTCTAGTTATAAAAATGATTGTATATTCAATTACTTACTTTGAAATATTTCAACAAGTCTAGTTATAAAAATGATTGTATATTCAATTACTTACTTGAAAAATATTTCAACAAGTCTAGTTATAAAAATGATTGTATAACTAATTACTTACTTTGAAATATTTCAACAAGTCTAGTTATAAAAATGATTGTATAATCAATTACTTACTTTAAAATATTTCAACAAGTCTAGTTATAAAAATGATTGTATATTCAATTACTTACTTGAAAAATATTTCAACAAGTCTAGTTATAAAAATGATTGTATATTCAATTACTTACTTGAAAAATATTTCAACAAGTCTAGTTATAAAAATGATTGTATAACTAATTACTTACTTTAAAATATTTCAACAAGTCTAGTTATAAAAATGATTGTATATTCAATTACTTACTTGAAAAATATTTCAACAAGTCTAGTTATAAAAATGATTGTATAACTAATTACTTACTTTAAAATATTTCAATGACCAGTGCTGGTCAAGTTTGATGTGGACACATTGAAAGAAAGCACAGAATTGGACATGAGCCAAGAAGAACCAGCCCATAAATTCACAGAGGTTTACAACAAGTAGGTTGCTTAGGTTGTTTTAGTGCTAGTCTTTGTGGGTTGCTGTGTATTGAGTTGTACATTTTGTTATTATTTTTGCTGACAAAATCTAATTAGATTGTTATAGACGTAGTCACTACTATGCTAAATATTTAGCTTTTAGTTGTTTTAGAATAGCACTAGAATATCAAAGTTTCAGTCATGAGTAGATGATGTGGATGATGGACTGTGATGTAGAAAGTGTCTTAGACAGTAGACATTTTAATGATCACTGATTGACACCAATCAACTTTTTTTTACAGGCCAGCCAAAACCATGGATCACCTTTGGCTGAACATGATTCAAAAAATGAACAGCGAGCAAGAGGCCAGGGTCACCTAGGTCACATGATCAGCAGGTCATGGTCAGTCACATGATCAGAAGGCCAGGGTCCCCAAGGTCACATGATCAGAAGGTCATGGTCACCTAGGTCACATGACCAGAAGGTCATAGCCATCCATCAGCTGTGCTGAGCTCTTTGATATTTCTTTAACTGGCAGCCATCGTGTTGGAGAGCTTACAGTAAGCTCCGTGATAATTCTCCTCACCCACCCTCCTAGCTTTAGGACCAAGGGCACTTAACTGTTGTAATTCAGATTCTTTTCTAAAAAAAATACTATTGTACAAAATATGTAACAAAAAATATTTTTATATGCTGAGAATTAGACTTTCTGCTGATTCAAACTCGATATTCTTGCATTGAACATAAAACTTGACAACAATTCAGATGATTCCTTACATATGGCAAATAGGTTTAAGCAAAATTCTATTATTAAAAAATCAGATTAAGTATCATATGTTATGGGTTAGCACAGTGGCTTCACTAGGTCTTGACAAGATATATATATTTATGCTTATTTATACATATATAAATATAATATCACTATTGTATGTACTTAAACTTTGGAAAAGTTTTGTATAACCCCCATCTTGGAAGGTCTCATCCTCCCCCCTCCCACTATGGCAGGTGTCTCCCCCATCATTGCAGGTATCACCTGGTGTGGTCCTATTTACCCCCTTCCCCCATAATGGCAGGTGACTCTCCCATCATTGCAGGTATCACCTGGTGTGGTCCATACCCCCCTCCCACTATGGCAGGTGTCTCACCACCACCACCACCACCACCTCCCCCACCCTCCTGTCCGTCCTTGTGAAGCTACTGGGTACTTAATCCAATTACAAAATAATCAGCAACCATTCATTACATGGTTGGGGTATTAAAATGACACCCATTATTGAGTTGGCTAAGAACAGGAAAACTTAAATACAATAGATATAAAATAATTTTTTTTTTTAACTGCTAGTGCTCTTGTACTATCTTAACTTCAGTAGACAACGTTGTTACACATTTCCATTAACTACGGCATAATGTCTGTTTATTTACTTTTTTAATAACTTGCCTTTGTTAACATGTATGGTCTTACAAACGAAATTTCCTGATATTCATTGTTTATATTAAATGTCATAATTTTGTTACAATAAATTTTGTTGTGAATGTCATAAATTGTGTACAGAGACTTGTAAAGTACTTGTGTACACAGGTCATATGTTATTTATTTCAATTATCATACCAGTACATCAAGTACATGTGGAGAAAAAAATTTCACTAAAATTTCTAAAGATATATTCTAAACAGTTTGGAATAATTATAAATTCACTGCCATTTTAATTGGGAATCTCTCTATTGTACAGTTTATTTAAACAAGATTAATTTATTTATTTTTAACTTCACATGGTTTTTGAATTATTTTTTTTTTAGCTTTGTGGTTGTGAAAATGTATAAAAATCAAACTAAATTTTCTGATACAAACAGGCCACATTTTACTCTCACTGGGCGTGTCACAGATTTGAGGTTTAATTTAGAAACATTCTGGTTCATTTGAAAAAATTTGGGTTCATTTGGAAAATTCTAGTTCATTTGAAGAATTCTGATTCATTTTGGAAAATTATGATTCATTTGAAGAATTCTGATTCATTTGAAACATTGCTTTTAGTCTGTCATGCCATTTGGTTTTTAATTGAAATCTTAATTTGCTTGTGTTAAATTATTAACCTTTGACCTGCCTTCACCATCAGTTTAAATTTAGGACACTATTAAATTGTGAACAATGCTCAATTTATATATTTAGTATAGCAAACAAAAATTAATTCTAGAATAATTGTTGGACTATGGTGTTACTACTAATTGTTGAATATAGATAGCATTATCTGAAGATTTATTTGTGTCCATATTATAATTCTTGTTAAAACATGCATATCATATGGTTGTGTTAACGAAACAAAATTTAATTTAAATTTGTTTCATTTTTTGTGAAATACTTTACAAATTATATTATGTTTTTCATCTTTGTTTTTTAACATCGTGGGTGACATTTTGTTGAATGTATAATGTGATAAGGATTATTGAAAGCCTGGGTTCATCTATTCAGATTATTTGTTATCTGCTGTTTAATTTGTATGATAAATAAATCTTCAAAGTTTTCCATATTCTAGAGTTATTTTAGCTCATCTTTTTATTATTGATTTTTAATCACTAATTAAAATTTACATGCGATTTGCTCATTGCTTTTTTAATGTGTAGATCGTAAGCTGTGTCTGTGTTGTTTAAACCTTGTGTAACTATGTTACAAACTAAAATGTGCATCACTGCATAATGAACAATACATGTGTATTGGCCTTGTGTAAAACAGCTGGATGTGCCATTCTTTTATTATAGTTTACATTGTTTCACTAAATTTTTTATTGTTTATACTGCTTTTCATAGACTTGACTAGAAAAACTTTCTCTATGTGTAATTTTCTTGGGTGCACTATATATAGTGTCAACCATCTTAATGTTCCAAATGTAGGCAACATCAAAATTTTTGTAAGTGTACACAATCAGATAGGTGTAAAAAAAAAAAAAAAAATTTCCCACCTCCAAAAATGGAGATTTAAGAACTATTTGTTTTACTCCATCAAACTACTGCTTGTCCTTGTTGTTCTGTGCCTATACATGTTATTCTTGAATGAATTAAAGTTGTAAACTAATCCTGCTGACTTTGTTTACATCTTATCTCTTAATCCGAGTGCCTCAGGTTGTATGATGTTCAGAAGCCTCACTAATTTCTGTTCTCCCATACTAAACATAAAGCAAGTGTTGGAGTAGAAGCCACAAAGACACATAATAAACTTTTCTATTATTTATTAAAGGTTTGTTAAAATAATTTTCAAGCCAAAAGAAAGCCAATTCTGTGAAGAGTTTTAATCACAGTTAAAAATCTTAAACAATTTATAATAAAGAACATTTGTACGGGCATGATACTGTAAATCATACCTAAAGGTGATAATGACTTCAATGAATGAATAATTATAGGACAAATCAACAAATGAATGAATAATGTAGACAATTTAACAATCACTGAAAACCATAGCATTCAAAATGATCTCATGAAATGAATGAATAATGCAGACAAATTAACAATCACTGAGTGACAATTAAAACATGGCATTTAAAATGATCTCACCAAATGAATGAATGTAATGCAGACAAATTAACAATCACTGAATGACATGGCATTTAAAATGATCTCATGAAATGAATGAATAATGTAGACAAATTAACAATCACTGAATGACATGGCATTTAAAATGATCTCATGAAATGAATGAATAATGCAGACAAATTAACAATCACTGAATGACATAGCATTCAAAATGATCTCATCAAATGAATGAATATAATGCAGACAAATTAAGTTAATTAACAATCACTAATGACATAGCATTTAAAATGATCTCATGATTTCAGCAATAGCACATAAAAAAAAAACAGCAACATCAATCACACAGGGGTCAATGCCAGACTAATTTTTTTCTTTCAGCTTTCCTTCAGCTATCCACTGTTTTTTCTTATTGTGCTTCAAGTCAATTAGAAACTTCTCCAGATCTGTCAGGCTTTGTTTCTCTACGGCTGGGTCTGGGTGGGCTGGGTCCTGAGGGGTCACTGCCTCCCATCTAGACAGGGGAGCTCTTGCATGCTGGGAACCTTCAGGTTTCTCACCAGACATTCCTGCTGGGTTTTGGGATTTAGGTATGAACTTTGACCTGTCTCTAGCAGGTGATTGAGACCTTGTTGAATGTCTATCTCTGGACTTTGATTTATTTGACTTTCTATCACGGGATTTTGATCTGCTCCTAGATTTGGATCTCTCTCTGTGTCTATTTCTGGACTTAGATCTGTGTCTAGACTTAGACCTCTCTCTATGTCTATCTCTAGATATCTCTCTGTGTCTATTTCTGGACTTAGATCTGCTTCTAGACTTGGACCTCTCTCTATGTCGACCTCTAGACTTGGATCTCTCTCTATGTCGATCTCTGGACTTGGATCTCTCTCTATGTCGATCTCTGGACTTGGATCTCTCTCTATGTCGATCTCTGGATCTGCTTCTGGAACTTGACCTGCTCTTACCAAACTTTCTGGATGAACTACGACTTCTGTAGCTACTTCTTCTGCTTGTCCTCTCCCCCTTTGTTCCAGATGTCCTCCCCCTTCCACCCCTGTCAGGACTCTCATCGTCTGAGCTGTACCTTTTGACTTGACCAACTCCAGCTTTACTGCTGATACGAACCAGCCTCTTACCTTTACCAGAGTCATCGCTGCTGTCAACTATTTCCTCTATATGTGGAACCTGTAAGCTGCCTGCGCCAGAATTTGAATGTCTATCATGGCTGCTAGGCGGTTGATGTGCATCACCTTCCTCAGACTTTCTCAATTTTGCTTTCATCCTTTCCCGCACCCTTCTCTCTATCTCCCTCTCTATATCTTCTGGTTTCAGAAAGGGCATATTTTGTTCAAATATATTATGATAAACTTTCTCATTTTTATCTCCACCATTTTTATCTCTATTTTCAAGGTCCTTAACTCTATCAGATTTTTTCTCAGGACCTTTGACCCCTAGAGTATTTTCTCTGTCAGGTGACTTCCTGTCTGACATTTTGTCACCATCTTTATTCCCTCCCTTGACTCTAGCAGATTTAGTTACATCATCCATTTTGGTTACTCTGAGAATACGAGGCATGAAATCCTGTGACACAGGCTTAGCTGCTTTATGACTGCCAGTCTCCTTAGTAACAGGAGGCACTTCCAGATCTTTCTGGTAAAGACTAGAACCTTCTAGCTCCTCTTTCTTGTAAATGTGATCTACATCACTTTCAGCAGTTTTGCCAGTGTTTTTAACACTTTTAGCATCAAGTCCAGACAGACTTGAAGAACTAGGTTTGATCAACTGGGAAGGGAGGGTCGTTTGATTCACTAGACCAGCCCTGACCAACTTGACATCTTTCCCTCTTTCATTACAGTTGGTCTGTTTCACCCCATCCCCGTACAACATATGCTCGTCATTCTTCACAAGACCCGTATCATCAAACCTACTTTTCTTCACCCCACCAGGTTGAACTCTAGCTGAAACTTTCTCATCCAAATGTTCATGTTTCTTCTCAACACCTTTCTCTTTGCTGCTTCTCCTTAACAACTGCGGACTTGGATATTCCTCCTTAATCCTTTGCTTGGCTTTACCAGAGTAGCCATCCTTGGAGTCTGACCTTGACCTCTGATGAGGTGACCTCCTGTACTTGATCTCATCTCCACCCCCCTGGTGCCTGGGTCCACCTGGGTGTTTCTCAAACTCCTTCACCACAGGCTTTTTAGTTTGCAAATGAGAACTGCTCTTAAGCCCCCTTCCATCTTTGGATCTTCTACGGCTCCCAGAGCTGGTGCTGCTCCTGGAACTACTGCTCCTGGAGCTGCTGCTAACTGATCTGGACCTTGTCCTGGTCCCCCTCTTCACCTTAGCTCTCCTTTGACTGCGACTCCTAGACCTGCTCTTGGTGCTACTAGTGCTACTGAGGCTAGTACTAGATATACTTATATGACTACAAGATCTCGAGCTCCTAGATCTACTTTTGGTAACCTCTGTCTTACTTCTGCTACTTTTTAATTTCTTTTCTTCGCTGTTTTTCTCGTGATTTTTCTTCCCTTTAAGTTCTGATTTACTGGATGTGCTATGAGATTTTCTTGGTGAGGGGGATGAAACAGATGAAGACGAGGAGGAGGACTGGGAATGTGGCCTGAACCTCTTGTATCTCTCCTTGTTGTCTTTATAAAACTTTTCTCTCTCCGCCATCAGGAAATCATCCCGTCTCAAAACTTTGGCCGCGTCTGGCTGCCTCTCCCTGATGACACTGTCGGCGAGTCTTCTACTTTCTGCGGCAGAGTTTTGGAAAGGCGGGGGACTGCCGAGCCCAGGGATGGCTGTGGACACACTGAAAAACTCATGCGAGGGTATAGGTAAAAAGGATGCAGCTGCCGAGGTCCTGACAGTCTTGCTGAACACATCCTCATCATCTGCCTGGGACGAGAGACTTCTTTTAGCAGATACCTCCAGCAACTCATCTACAACAGAAATAGTTTGAGTTTGGTTCATCTACAACAGAATTAGTTTGAGTTTGGTTCAAATGGTTTTTGGTAACCAGTTTAATAAATCTTATTTTTATTTTTTACAAATGTTCCCCATTGACTTTATATCTTTTTAGCAAATTAAACAGATTGGGATTCATTGATATGGAATTGCGGTTGTGATCTAGAACTTTTGAGTCTTTATTTAAAATATTTGTTCTTTTCTTTTTTGGACACTAAAAAACTTAAAACTAACTGACTAATAAAATATTTATAATGTGTATTTCTGGAGTTGTTCCGTTATGGTTGCCCTGTCACATGACTGCTGTTGTCCTGTCACATGACTGTTGCTCTCACCTTTTGTCACGTGGTCAAGCCTGGACTTGTTTCTTCCCTTTGTTTCTTCAATCTCTGACCTCGTCTTTCCCTTGTGTCTGTCTTGTTTGCTGGATGAGCTGTGATCACGTTTTCTACAAGTTTTCACACATTTACAACAGATGTATTCAAACATTTCAATATTGAGACAATCACAATAATCAACAATAAAAGAGGTAATATTTTTACTTAAAACTATCAGACTACAACATTTATAGTTGGCAAATGAAAAATATAAACTTTCATAAGATTTCAACAAATTTTTAAAAATCAGCATTTTTTTTCATTGCTGGAAATAGATTAGCAGATATTTCCAGTGGTTTTTCCATTTGAAATTTTTTAATTTCAAGAATCCAAAACAACGAACACTTTGATCAATAAGCCACATTTATTCCTGCGCAACTCCATTTCCCAGTTACTTAAAAGAGCACTAGAACAAACCAACAAATGAACAAACATGCCAACACTCTTTAGGGCTGGTAAGTAGGTCACCAACCAGTTCTACGGCTCAATAAAACCTGCATGAGCCATATAATTGGTTGGTGACCTACTTACCAGCCCTATATTGAAACAGCAAACAGCTCTGGTGATTGAGACTGTGTTAATGGGGTCACAAGGGTTTTATAAAAACTAGTGCAGCAACTGTTTCACAGTGTCATATGGAGAAAAAAAACTGTTTTTTTTTTCCAATTGAGTGGAAGACTATATTGTAGCTGAAAGGTGGAATAAAACTGCTTATAAATGGCAAATAATTAATTGATTGGCTGTTGGAAATTAATGGGGAAGATAACTGGAAAATGTTGGCACAACAAATTAATTATCATTAAATGGCTAATCCAGAAAACATAAAATTTTATAGGAAAATTCCATCAAAAGGTAAAATAGGATTTTCTTTTTTTTTTAAATTTGGAATGGGATCTTGGGTAATCAAGTGAGAAAAGTTTTTCTTTAACCAAGCATTATTTGTGTCTATGATATGGTGGATCCTCAACTAGAAATCTTTACAACACTAACCAATGTAAGCAGAAAAAAAAACACCTACCTTTCAAGTCTTTTTCTCGATGTTTTATGTTTTTTATCCTCTCCAGAGCTGGAGCTAGAGCCACTGGAACTGCTGCTGTCCTGACTACTGCTGTCATGACTGGTACTCCTGCTGTCTCGTTTTCTACGCTTTCTTTTTCTTCTGCCACCTGAAGAGCTCGAGCTACTGCTGCTGTGAGCTCGCTTTTTTCTCTTTTTGGAGCTACTGTAGAATACAAGGCATTGTTTCAAAAAAATATGGTAGCTAGTAGCACCTACTACTGTCAACAACATTTCAAGTATCATCTAGAGAGTGTATTTAAAATATCCTGGAAACTATAAATTTAATATATGTTATATTTGATGCAAGTTAGACTTTCTATTTTTAAAATGCATTAAATAATACATTTTATACAACACATCATAACAATTAAATACCCTCTTCCTCTGGATGAAAAAAGATAACTCTTCTCTTTTGTGGGGAAAAAAGTTACCTTCCTTGCTTTAAGTAAAAAATAAATCAGACTTGACCTGGTTTTCTCTTTTTTGTCCTCTTTAATCAACTGTTGCAGCGTATCAGCAATTTTATTGATCAATAATTCACTCTTTTTTTCTTCTTTATTACTTGAATGCACAGCCTAAAACATCAGTGATGATTTTTTACATGAACTAAAGATATACATCAGAGATGATTTTTTACATTAACTAAAGATAAACATCAGTGATTATTTTTTACATTGACTAAAGATATACATCAGTGATGATTTTTTACATTGACTAAAGATATACATCAGTGATGATTTTTTACATTAACTAAAGATGTACATCAGAGATGATTTTTTACATTGACTAAAGATATACATCAGTGATGATTTTTTACATTAACTAAAGATATACATCAGTGATGATTTTTTACATTAACAAAAGATGTACATCAGAGATGATTTTTTTACATTAACTAAAGATATACATCTTCATCACAATGGACATAAATGACCAACTTACACACCACAAATTTTAAAATGTGTACATGGAAATTTAAACAATTAACCACATGTACACAAGACTACATAAATGAGGTCCTAAATACCATATACACATAAATAGCCTAGTGTACATAACACTATATAAATGAGCAAGTAGCAGACAAAACAGTTTCCTACCATCAAGCGCTGACATCCAGACAACATCTCCCTAGCCTCAACGTTGCCTGGGTCTATCCTCAACACATCTGTGTACTTCTCACATGCCTCTTCCAGCTCATGTTCATCAGCACACCTTCAATAGGACAAATAAGTTACACGCCTACACAGGGACAAATAAGTAACACCTACACAGGGACAAATAAGTTACACGCCTACACAGGGACAAATAAGTTACATGCCTACACAAGGACAAATAAGTTACATACCTACACAGGGACAAATAAGTAACACCTACACAGGGACAAATAAGTTACACGCCTACACAGGGACAAATAAGTTACATGCCTACACAGGGACAAATAAGTTACATACCTACACAGGGACAAATAAGTTACACGTCTACACAGGGACAAGTAAGATACACGCCTACACATGGACAAATAAGTTACACGCCTACACAGGGACAAATAAGTTACATGCCTACACAGGGACAAATAAGTTACACGCCTACACAGGGACAAATAAGTTACACGCCTACACAGGGACAAATAAGTTACACGCCTATACAGGGACAAATAAGTTACACGCCTACACAAGGACAAATAAGTTACATACCTACACAGGGACAAATAAGTAACACCTACACAGGGACAAATAAGTTACACGCCTACACAGGGACAAATAAGTTACATGCCTACACAAGGACAAATAAGTTACATACCTACACAGGGACAAATAAGTAACACCTACACAGGGACAAATAAGTTACACGCCTACACAGGGACAAATAAGTTACATGCCTACACAGGGACAAATAAGTTACATACCTACACAGGGACAAATAAGTTACACGTCTACACAGGGACAAGTAAGATACACGCCTACACAGGGACAAATAAGTTACACGCCTACACATGGACAAATAAGTTACACGCCTACACAGGGACAAATAAGTTACATGCCTACACAGGGACAAATAAGTTACACGCCTACACAGGGACAAATAAGTTACACGCCTACACAGGGACAAATAAGTTACACGCCTACACAGGGACAAATAAGTTACACGCCTATACAGGGACAAATAAGTTACACGCCTACACAGGGACAAATAAGTTACATACCTACACAGGGACAAATAAGTTACATGCCTACACAGGGACAAATAAGTTACACGCCTACACAGGGACAAATAAGTTACATGCTGACACAGGGACAAATAAGTTACATACCTACACAGGGACAAACAAATTACATGCCTACACAGGGACAAACAAATCACTTGCTTACACAGGGACAAATGAGTTGCCTAAAACTGAGACAAATAAGTTACACACCTAACACAGGGACAAATACATTATCTATCAGGGACAAATAAGTTGCCCTACAATGACTAATACCTTACTTACCAAACACAGGGACAAATAAATCAATAAGTTAACAAGACAAAAAAGGCTTACATTTTTCCACGAGTCAATAGAGTTTCTATGAGATAATTCTTTGCATTGTTGTGTTTGGGGTTAATATCTAAAGCTTCCTGAAAGTCTTTGATGGCATGTGTAAAGTTCTCTTTATTTGCATACCTGGAAGAAAGAAGGTTAACATGTTAATAAACTTTCAACCAAAATAAAATAATTCACCATAAAAAAATTAACATAATTACTTATTAAGATATAAGCACAAGTAAATAATGTAAAAGAACTCTTCAGTTATAAAGTTAATTAGATGACACCATTACAACTGCAGTCAGGCTACAAATGCAACTTATTGAAACCATCTTGATGCTTACTGCTTGCTATCACAAACTTCTATTCTTTCTGATGAACTTTTTCCTGATACAATCTTTTTCATGAACTTGGTGTTCCAAGCTTTTTATTAACTTCCTTTAAAAAAAAAATCCAAAACAATTGTTCTGGTAAAGTCAGATGGTATTTGTTCTCACATCTGATTAGAATTTTAATGTGGTGGTTGTGCGCTATAAATAGCAGCTTGAGTTTGATAGAGCTCAAGGTTATTCCATCCATACAGACCTGTAAAATGTGAAACAATTTATGTATTAAAACTTTTAGCCAAGTTATCAAAGTTGAGTCATAGTAAATTTGTATCAGAATATTTTTTAAATAGCGGTGAACTTACCTTAAGAAACTTTTTTTCCAAAAACATTAACAAAAATATATTTGCTGGACAATAGCATTGACATTTAATAAATGTTAATTACATTTATTAAATACACAATGCTATGAGAATTTTATCAGCTGAAGGATTATCTGATAAAATATCATTTACTTTTTAAATTAAAAAAAGGGATTGCGCATTATAAAAACTAGTTGAGTTGAAAGTGATATTGTATACATTTCAACTGTGTCAAAAAACAAATTTTAAGACAAGGATAAGAAGTAGAAAATTTTATTGATTACAAAATAATAAAGTAATATCAGAAATAACACATTATTACATTTTACAACATATTTTGATGAAATACAACTTAATAAAATATCTCTCTTAATATAATATCACATTTAAAAAATCAAGCAATTAATAAAAATATCATAAACAAATATGTCATCTCTGAACACAATACTTCAAAATATTGCCCATCCATTTTATAATATAACAATAAATAAACAGGAATTCAAATGTGCTAATACTTCAATGGTGTCAAATGTAATCAATCAATTATTTGAATCATAATATTAATAAAATAACATTCTGTCAAATAAAAAGCTCACCAATATTAAAAAATATTCATTAAAAATAGATTCATCATTCAACAGCAGCAATCAAAATTACAGCATTAAAAAAATAATAATAGCAGATTATCTATCAAAGATAAGCCATCACAGATAATTCTGACATAATGTCTATCACAGATGAGGAGTCCCTTTGTAAAACCTGCTAACTCACTTCAGATTGAATTTGTGCAAATTGACTATTTTCTGATAAAACATTTACTTTAGTATATACCTTTCAGAAATAATAAGACTTTAAGGATAACGTTTTTTTTTTTAAAACTTGATTGAGCAGGTTTAGGAAAAGTTCCCCTCGTATAATCTCTGACACAATGCCTATCACAGCCAAGCTACAACACTGTACAAAAAATTTAATCGCTTACAGCGCTCCCCTGGCCACTAGAGCCTCCACATTTTGCTTGTCAATCTGCAGAGCTCTGTTAAAGTGTTGCATGGCTTCCAAATACTTGCCTTCCTTGAACATTTCTACACCTTGGGCCACACTGGAGAAACAGAGAAAAAAAATCTTCATTGAGTCAGCTGATCACTGGCTATAGTCCTTCTCATTACTAACTTAGATTGAAACTACTAATAAAAGTTGTGAAATTATTAATGAAACTAACAATAATTTCTATGAACTATCAAATGCAAAGTTTCCAGTTTAGTATTCTTTACTCTAAAAATACATGATTTAACAACAAAAAAATTGAACCAATTTGGATTACCTGAAAATGTTCATGATTACCTTTGATGGGCTAATTTCTGGGACTGCCATTTTCTTAATCCTTCTGCATATTCTTTTTCAGGAATCTTAAGCCTAAATAAATGTAGATTAAAACAGTTACTTTCATGATAACATTTGGTTTCTACTTGTTAAAAATCTACCAGCAAGATTCAGCTTTGTTTTTATTTTGTCAGCAACTGATGTTACAACAAAGTTTGCTTACTGTGCAAGGCTTCTAAAGAAGGATTCACTTTCATCTATTCCTTGCTGTTTGACAAGAGCTTGAACGTTACCCTGGTTGTTAAAGCCTAACACTGACTGCAGCATTTCTTCATACGACATTCCTTGGATCTGTGTTTTTCGTCTATATTATTATACAATAAAACTTCATTAAATTAAGCACAAGATGTTTACAACTTTAAGTATTATTTGGAAAAAGTTTTTTTTCTTTAATAAAGTATAAGTAAAAAAGCTTGAATATAAAAACAAAGAATATACCTGTAATAAATAGGAAATTCATCCTCTGTTATAAGTCCCTATTAAGAGGTGAAAAAAAATGCATCTGAATGGAATGTTTGCTGTGTAAATGTACAGACTAAACACAATAAATCTATACAGTTAGGTATAATGTAAGACAGAAAGGTATTACTATTCTAGGATAGGTTTCCTTGTCTGGGATTGACTTTTCATGCAATGAGATAATAATCCTCTCAGTCTCCACTACAACAGATAAGATAATGCCTGAAATAGAGAATAAAATATAAGGATAACATTCTTCATACATCAATAACAAAGTGGCCCTGACAAGAAAAAAAAAAGCTCAACTTCCACAACTCTCTTTACACTCCTACCTCTCACAATGTCCTTTTCCTGAAATGCATCTAAAGCACTTTCATGGGCATATAATTTGGGGAGCTCTTTTGCTGGACAGAAAGCCTGGTAGTTCAATACAATAACAGTATAAATTATAAAATAACAACAATCAGTGCACTACAACTATCTCTCAACAATAGATTCTAGTAAGCTACATATCTTGCTAACAGCTATTAATCTTATCACCATACAAGAGCTGAGTTACATAAATTGCAAGTGTCTGATTCAATTTAGTAATGTCAACAGAGCTAAAACAAACCATAATGTCTAAAACAAACCATAATGTCTAAAACAAACCATAATGTCTAAAACAAACCATAATGTCTAAAACAAACCATAATGTCTAAATCTTCTATATCCCGAGCGACCCCTCTGTCCACACAGAGCAAACGGACACGCAAACCATTTTCTAAAATGTCAGAGACAACTCCTGTCACACAATCATTTGGCTTGATGCTCTGCAATCAAAAAAAAAGTTTTTAAAATTTTTCTAACTTGGCCAGTTTAAATGACACCCAGAAGATAGCTACACCAATAAACCCACATTTTATAATAATATACTTTTATATTTTTAAAAAACTATGCAGTTGCAATATAATTATTAGTGAACTGACTTTCAAAAAATGATCCCGTCTTAAATGGCCTGGAACATCCATGAAAATCTCCATTGCTGGCATTATGGCAAATGCATCTAAAACAAAAACAAAATGGCAGTCTATTTAACAATGAATGATAAAGTGATTATTTCAGACATAATTGTCAATTAGCAAAATAAATAACTAGCTATTAAATATTTTGTTAAGAAATACATACCTTAAAAATGCTTGGCAACAAAGATCTGATTAAACAATGGCTGTCATCAGGAAAATTTTAATTCACAAAAAAAAATATTTTTAGCTCACAATATTGTTTTGGGGCCACTGATACAAGTGAGTGTTATAGTTGTACAAGGGAGCTGTGTGATTATACATTCAAAGGAGTTGTGTGTTTATATATTCAAGTGAGCTGTGTGGCCATATAATCAAGGGAGCTGTGTGGCCGTATAATCAAGGGAGCTGTGTGGCCATATTATCAAGGGATCAAGGGAGCTGTGTGGCTAGATAATCAAGGGAGCTGTGTGGCTAGATAATCAAGGAAGCCATGTGGCTAGATAATCAAGGGAGCTGTGTGGCCGAATAATCAAGGGAGCTGTGTGGCTAGATAATCAATGGAGCTGTGTGGCTATATTATCAAGGGAGCTGTGTGGCCATATTATCAAGGGAGCTGTGTGGCTAGATAATCAAGGGAGCTATGTGGCCATATTATCAAGGGAGCTGTGTGCCCATATTATCAAGGGAGCTGTGTGGCTAGATAATCAAGGGAGCTGTGTGGCCATATTATCAAGGGAGCTGTATGGCCATATTATCAAGGGAGCTGTGTGGCCATATTATCAAGGGAGCTGTATGGCCATATTATGCAGGGAGCTGTGTGGCTATACTTTCAAAGGAGCTGTGTGGCTATACTTTCAAGGGAGCTGTGTGGCTATACTTTCAAAGGAGCTGTGTGGCTATACTTTCAAGGGAGCTGTGGCCATACATTCAATGAATGGAGCTGCCAAAAATACAAGAGAGCTGTATGGTCAGTACAGCTTTAACTCCTGAGCTAGGTTAACATGATATACTCAACAGCTTACAAAACATTTTTACCAAGTAGAATATGCTCACATCTTATATCACACTACAACATAAGGTAATGAATTACCATCAATAGTTTCTTCAACTTTCTGTCTATTTTTATGGGATTCTGAAACAGGCTGAAATAAGAGATCTGCCTTTCTTCCAATAAATGAGCACAGATTTCTTTGAAATTTTTCATCTCTGCAATTGATTTGAAAAATAAATTGTACTTGTATTATTATAAATAGGTTTAATGCCAAGGTAAATTAAAAATGTAATTTACTTATATATTTTACTAAAGAAAAATAATATTAAAATGAACATAGTTAAGTAGATTTTTTAAAAATGTAATATGTTACACAATCAGATGCAAAGTAATAATTCAATACTTAACATACAAGCCTATGATTTCTTTATTACATGCAACACACAATGGAAATATTGAACCTACTTGATTTCAAACTCCTGAGTTTGTCTTCTATCAACATAGGACAAAATAGACGGGGATAGTTGTTCATGCTGCTCTCCCCTTAGACTTGCCAGTAAATCAACTCCATGGTATTGTAGAGCCTGTCCCACCAATTTGGCATCCATTTTTCCTATCAGTTGTCTATAGTTAGATCTATATGAATTCCATTACCATTTGGTTTTACTTTGTACTATAAAGGGAAAAGAAATTGATTAACTTTTTCCACATTATCAGTATGTTCAATTACAATACTCAACATTAATTAATCTAACACTTGTTAATTAAGGAATGACACATAACTGTGATAACACTATGGGCTTGGTATGTTGCCTGACCTATTTCAATGAGGTTGTTTTTTATTATTGTAATTTGTTTTGAGTTTATATCTAACTGAGTTCAACAAGGCCACTGGTTGGTTGGGGGCCAGGCTGGGAACTCGTTCTGCTAGGGATGCAAAGGGTCTAAGTTTTTGTGTGTAGTGTTCTATAAATAAATAGATTAGAATTGGAGGGCTGTGGTTGGATGGTAGCGCATACGATAGGTGACAAGTAGTCCTTGACTTCAAATTCCAGACTTGAATCTGTAAGATGTTCCTGAGTCCATTTTCGTGAGGTAAAGGAAAAGTGGCTGGGCATATTTTTTTTTCTTTATCGAGGTTATAGATTGAACTCTTGTTTCATCTGCCCATGAACTCCATGAGAAACAAAATGCTCTAGCTGAAAACTACCTATTAGATCAAGTCTCTGACATTTCATTAACATGTTTCATGGAACTGAAGAAATGAAGTCAATTTTCCGCAATGTTTGAGAGCAAGATTTGCTGTATAAACAGGGGTCATCTGAAGAGCTGTTTAAAGTCCAATGGCAATAGCCTTATTGTCTATTGATATATTTATTATTTAGGCATTGTGTTTGGTTTATTTAATTTTATTAGCCTATCAAAATTTATCAATTCAATTTTCGATTATATTTGACACAAATATTAGTTAGGCTTAGGCGCCTAATTATTAAAATTTAAAAGTTAGGGCCTATTTTTTTTTTAGTAAATTAATTTTATTAGGCAAAAATGTTTTTTAAGGTTTTACTTTTAAACTTTTAAGTAGGCCTAGAATCTAGTTTTTATAATTAAGTATTTAAGCCAATAATTGCAATAATTTATTAAGCCAAGCTGTTAGATCTAGAAATCTAGATTCTAGAATCTTAGACTAGATCTACATCTACTAGATCTAGTAACTAGCTAATAGTATAGCGGGTAGCAACAGTGACAGTACAGATGCTGAGATGAGTCTACTACTACTACGACCCATGAGAAGACCCCTCGCAACCCCCTTGGGCCCTTACAACAGCCTTACGCCTTCAGTTACTGATTGATTAGGCCTACTGTCTAGAATCTAGAAAAAAACATTACAAAAATGCCTTACGGCCTTACATGTATTGTAGATCTACAGATCTAAATCTTCATATAGATGTCTAGATCTAGTAATTTATAGATTAGAATTCTAGATCTAGTTGTAGATTGTAGAGTAATCTGAACAAGTCAAAATATTAAAATAAATTTTAACACTTCGTTTTTTAAGTATCGAAACACTACTTGTTAAGGTAATACTAAATACCAACTGTATCAATGACATTGTGCGTATAACATAATGATTTATGATCACCCATGAATTTAAATGTAAAAAACCAACCAACATAAATCTAAAATATAGTAATTTTTAGTAAATTAATACTAGATCTAGTGAAATTGGCCTATATTGAATTATATAGTGAAATATATTACAATTATATATTGAAATAATTAAGAATACCCTAATAATAATAATAGTTTTGTAATATTCACAAGATTTTTTGTGTGCAGATAGTTGGTAAATTTCATTTTCATCCCTCATATCAAATTATTGCAATTTAGTTCCAGAATTAAACATGCCCGTCAGTTTGTGGATGGTGGTAGCTTGAATCAGATTAGGAACCCAAATTAAGATTTTTTGTTTAGTAATCACACTTTCTACTTTTTTAACAAATCGATAGATTTCTAAGATTAGAAAGGTATGTATTATGTATTTTTAGAAGTAATTCAGTGAAGCATTTCAAAAAACTTAAGCATAAATTGATATTAATTAATTTTTCTTCTGTGCAGTAGAAATAACATGAATTCATTGCATTTTAATTGTTGAGTAAATTATGTAAGATGTTTAAAAATATATTTTTAAAAACTAAAATAGCCATTTGTATGTTGTGGGGGTAGTGCAGAAACATTGTGTGGTCCTGGACAGTTGCCTTGATTTAGTTGCCATTAGAATTGAGCTGGAGATCTAGACCAGGGACCAAGCAGTCAAATTATGGCTTTGAAGGAATTCATTTAATTTCTACTAAAAATGTTATTTTTATAAATATAAACTCACAACCTTTGTGATTCTTTTTTTAACCCGCAACTTATTTACTCAAAAGTCTCAAGATCAGATCACAGGCTATGTAAAGAGATCCTTGAGTCCACTCAGCTCTGATGGGTACTTGAGTTCTGTGACCTCAGCGTATGAAAGGATCATGAGAAAATTAAGAGGTAATACCACTATTTTTGAGGAAAAAATATAGAGCATAAATAAGACACCAAAGCTATTTTAAATGAGACACAAAACACAATAATTGGTAAAATAGCAAGTTTATTCAAATTAAATATTCAGATCATCATCTGGGTCTTCATCATCAAAGTCATCAGCATCATCAGGTTGATAAATAATTCGTCCTACTGAGGTGACATTCTCATCTCCAGAACTATCAATAAAAAAAATAGATAGTTTTAATTAACCAGTCTTCCAGTTTAGTTGGTCCTCTTTAGGTTGTTAATTTTTCACTAAACACTCTTTCTGTTTTGTCTATGGGGATTTAGGTCTGTTTTGTCTTTAGGGATTTAGCAATATGTTTAGAGCAGTGGTTCCCAACCTTTTTCGAGTGGCGACCCCCTTTTATAAAAAGTAAGTGACCCGCGACCCCCATAGAATTAAAAAGCCGAAATTAGTATTAGCATGAGTAAAATTGCATACTATTTACTAAACCTTCGTGGTTAAGTTTTTAATTAAAAAAAAATTTGTTAACGCCAACCTATGTCATTATAATTATCTTAATTTTGTTTTTAAACGAAGAATAGTGTTGAAAATATATTCTCGAAAAGTCAATCAATTTTACGTCTGGGTATGAACTGAATGGTGAATACTACACCAAAATTGTGTCTGCAGTTTTTCATCTTACTCGGAATCATTCTGCAAATCAAAGAATTAATCTTGTAATTCATTGGGAATGCTGGCAACATCAAGGGAAGAAGAGAATGGGTAATGCGTAAATGCAGATTCTTCTTTTTTCAGCTCAGAGAAATAGCGATGCAGTTCGTTTTCAAGATATTCAAGATGCCCAGAAATCGCTTCTTTCAAAATTTTAATTCTCTCACAATCAGATTCATCTACCACACCGCAGAGTTTCTCAAATTTACAATATTTCCAAGATTTATTTTCTTTACCAATTTTGCAGCTTTGATAAAAATGCCCCGAGATTATCATGGAAAATTGTAATATTCGTTCATTTTCCCTGAAGCTTCAGGTTAAGCTTATCTTGATGTTCGAACACATCTGCTAGGTATGATACTCTCTCCAACCACTCTATGTCGTTTTAAGTATACCAAAAAGTCTTGTTTCCTTTGCACTTCCAAGAACAGTTTGATTTCAGATTTCAATTAAAAAACAATTTACAACATTTCGTTTGACAGCCAGCGAACTGTAGTGTAGAAGAGCAGAACCTCGTGATCTATATTAATGTTTTTGCTCAGTTCTTTGAAGGCTCCAGATTTTATATAATTTACGACTTATACTAGTAATGGACTCTTGATGTCGATTGGTTAGGGCAATGGTTAGGGAGCTAAATCTTTTCTGTTTTCTGAAAGCCCGATTTCGAGCTAAACATAGATGGCGCACCATCCGTACAAACCCCTACAGCCGTTCTAACCCATTTTAATCATCCAATTTCAAAAAAGGTATTTATTTTTTCCAAGCTATCTTCACAAAAGAGCAACTCTTCTTTGCTATAATTCGCATGAATATAGACACAGACCAGCAACTGCGAACACGAACTCACGTCTGTTGCTTTATCAACTTGAAAAGCAAACAATGGTGAAAGCTTAATTTCGATAAAAATGTGTTATTTAACATTTACGTACATGCAGCGTTTGATGAGATTTTCTCCTTTTTTTTTGCTTGGCATTGTCTATCGCGACTTCATTCGATACTTGCACTAATGCTGGTGAAAACTTCCTGTTTGATCAAGTCTCTGGCGTTTGCAACTAGCTTCTTACCGACGAAAGAACTCCATATATTTTTTGGTGTGTTCCGAATGACTCGTCTCAAATGGCGTTTTAGTTTTAAAGATTTCATAGATTCGTGACTGAGAACAACTTTGTACAGTGCGCTTTGTTTCTTCTCTATTACATTTCCAGTGATGTTAATGAAGCCGAATTTAAAAAATTCTTCTAAATATTTATGTTTTGTTTCAAATTACTAAGGTTTAGCATACCAGTTGGCGACCCCCAAGAAAGACCTTCGCGACCCCCAGGGGGGTCGCGACCCCCAGGTTGGGAACCCGTGGTTTAGAGCCTTAGAATTAGTGTTATAAGGATAATTTCTCCTAAAAGGAGCATTGTTCCTATGTCAAGGATTGTTTTCTAAGGGTACTTTATCCATAGCACTGCCAACATTGCAAAGGTTAAAAGCTAATGAAAAATTAGCTGGTTGGTGTACAGGTCTATTCTGTGTTATAACAAAATAAACAACTCACCCATCTTTAACATAAGGCAGCTTGACCTGACTTCTGGCCTCCTTCTCTGTCTCAGTCAGAGATAAATTAAAAGGGAGATCAGCCATGGGATCACTCTGCAAGAATTTGTTTGAAGTAAATAAAATATTTATGAGAATATATTAACTAATATTAAACAAAATATGAACAGACAAAAATTTCTTTTTGTTGCATTTCAGTAGCAGATATAATTGTTTTTCATTTAACACAAAAGATTATAACATGAATTACTTCAGGTAAAAATTTATGGTATTATTAACAATATTAAGGGGATTTTAAAAAATTGAAATTAATTATAACCTGTGATGTACTCTGGACTGGTGTGGTACTTTCAACAAATGGCCCAATGCTGTTTATCAAAAACTGATCATCTATGCTGAATTTTTCTGTCTAAATTACAAAAATGATAATCACTAAAAAAAACTAACAAGATAGGTACTGAATTAAATCTTTTAAAAAATCTTTTTTTTTTAAGTTTGTCTACAGTGTGCTATTTATTTAGATGTGGATAAACAAACCACCTACTGTTTTAAACACTTTGCCTGTCACTCTGCAATGTTGTACTTTACATGTATACATAGATTTCATTCCAATCTGAAGATCAACAACACTTGAGGCAATAGATCCAAGAAGATCGCAGGTTACCTGATCATGTAAATCACTATGGATTAAAGCAAGAACTTGTGACACTCGTTCGCCTGAAAAAAGAGAGTGAAAATATATTTTTTAGTATTGCTAATATAAATACAAAAAGTAAATCTTTTTATGAAGCAACTTAGGATTAGGGTTAAGGAAAGAAAGGGTGGCAATTAGAGATACCAACAAAAAATACTTTCATGCTACTCTGCTAGAAAACAGAGACATAGAATTCAAAGATCCTACTTTTTGCTAACTTGTGTAGGACTGTGCATGTGGCCGGAGCAGAGCGCAACATTATATGAAGTGTCAGGGCATCAAAAACAACAGCTTGGTTGTCTATTGTTGCTAAAGCATTGTTGACAGTTTCATACAAAATATCTGCTTTGTTTCCATACTGAATTGTGGAGTTTCCATCAATGGCAACTATTCTAGATATTAAATTGGAACATGAATTTGATAAATTGTACAAACTGAAAATGTACAATTATAAATACACACAATATATATTTGAAAAAACAAACTACATTAACAATAAGGACTATTTACCTACATACAGAAGGATATAAAAAATGTACCTTTTTTGTAACGCTAGAGGAAGCCAGTTTATGAAGAAATCAGCAGGTCTCTCAAAACAAACAAGAATAACTTTTTCACATCTGTAACAATACATTATAGAATTAATTGTCTCTTGATATAAATTATTTTAAAATTATTGAATATTATATTAAATCAAAATATTAAGAAGGCTGATCAGTGGTAAAAAACATGAACATGCATGTAAATAAAAACTTAAAACTTTATTTAGTAATATTTATTTAGTAGTAGATCTAGATCTAGATCTAGTACTAAGTACTAAGTAGTACTAGATCTAGTCTAAGTACTGAGTTTAAGTAAGTAGGACCCCCTTATGTAGGCCTATTAAGTATTAATTCTTATAAATATACTTATTATTCTATATTAAACTTGGCCTAACCTTTTGAATAAACTGATGAGCCAATTCATCAACAAATGTCGACCTGGACATTCAGTGTTATCTATAAAAAAAATGTATTTTTAAAATAATAAATATTGTTAAATTTACTCCGCCGTTGTTTACAAAACACGTCGCTTCACTGAATCATTGATTGTTATTGTCACATCATCATCACATCATCTTCATGAATGATCATGTCTCATCATCTCATCATTAGAAATCTAAAAATAGTAAAAATACTAGATCTAGAATACTAGAGATATAATAATCGTTAACTTAACTACGTCTAGATTTATACCTTTAATAAGAATGCATGCACTTTTTTCCTGACCATTTAGTAAATCCTCCAACATTTTCCAACTATAATCTAGGTCTAGATCTAATAAATGAATAGACTCTAGTCAGTCTAGTGACTAGTGAAATGACTTAGGCCTTGTCTATTTATCAAACAGATCTAGAAAAAAAATTACAGTTATGTCCCTTGAACTAACTTTCAGCCGTTTAGCGGTATGAAGAAATTTTTACTTACTTTATAATTATATTGACAACAAAATGTGTAAATTACAATCAATATCATTGCGTGGACGTAAACAATTTTTTTAAAAAATAGTAGATTCTCAAAACGTATACCAATTTACTTTCAACAACTTGTATTGTGTAACAATTAACTGATATAGATCTACCATCTATATAATATATAGTATATAGTACAGTATACAGCTTTAATATTTTCTTTAATGTGTTTATTAGGCCTAAATATTAAAAGTTGAATGTTAGTATTCTAGCGAGAAGAGAAAAAAAATTAGATCTCTATTTCTAAATCTAATATGATTTGAACGTCAAAGCAGGCCTAGATCTACATCTATACATTTTTTCAATGATTTATTAACCAACCAAAACGCATGAAAAGCGTCACTTTACGTACTTGTTGGGGGGGGGGGGTGCTAACAGTATAATTCTCGTTGAATGTATTTTAATGATTAATATTAAATTATGCCCTTTATTTACACATGATGTTTAAAAAAACGTCGTCGTAATTTCACTTTTAACATGCAGGATATGAGATTTAGTTATTTAAAAATTTAAGCACTTCCGTGTTAAAAAGGACATTCACATGGACCCGACGACCCCACCTCCCCCTCCCCCACCGGTGCACTTCATAAATGGATGATCCCCCCCCCCCCCCTTTTACTCCTTATATTTTAGGGAGAGTGGTTAAGACTTGTACAACGAGGGAAGTGAGGGTTCAAAAGTATGACGACACTTTCTCAACCCTCACTTCCCTCGTTGCACAACTGACGACACACTTCGATTTTTTTTTTAAAGTTATACTGGAATCTGAATTTTAGTCGATATTTTGAGTTTTATTTGACATTTTATAAATTGTAATTAAAAATTGTAGGCCTACACCATGTTCGATGTTGACCCACAATAGCTTTTTATATATAAAAAATATTAATATAAACTTATATATATATATATATATATATATATATATATATATATATATATATATATATATATATATATATATATATCAGAGGCGTAGCGACCCTTCCCGGCGCCCGGGGACGAACTTTCGATTTGGCGCCCTCTCGGGAGCAAATTTTCGATTTGCACCCCCTCAAACTTTCGATTTGCACCCCCCCTCCCCCTCTCAATCTTTCGATTTGCACCCCCCCCCCTCAAAATATATTTTGTTCCAACCCATTTTGGCGCCCCCTAAAGTCGGTGCCCTGGGACATATGTAGCCCCCGCCCCCCCCCCTCGCTACGCCTCTGATATATATATATATATATTGTAAAGGTTAGGGGGTGGGGACTGTCTTGATGAAAGAGAGCACCGGCGGCGCGTTGTTCTCTGCCCTTTTTAAAAATAGGTAAGGATAACTTTCACAAACATCCGGTGTATCAAAAAGTAGTCATACATAAGAAGATTAATTTAAAATTGTAACATATCACAAAATTAAGTTTTTATAACCATAATATATTTTATAGATTAATTTAAGCGATATTTAAAATTCAAAAGTTATATGTTGGCATGCGAAATAATTTCATATCCATGTGTGTAACCAGGTACATACGCGTAGTAATTTATTTGTATCTGTACCATAGCAACAGCTGTAAATCAAGTGGGTTTGTTTTACCTTACGTGTGGTAGCTGTTGTGAGGAAAGACTGTATCCAGTCTACTTTATTTTTTCTTACTAGTTTGAGAAAATCCTCGTCCCACAATGGCTTTGCCATTTCTGCCAGGCAACACTTTTAATAGAAATGTAAGTGTTTTTTTTTTTACAAAAAAAAATTATAATGATTGTCATTATATGAAAATGAAAGTTATTAACTTATTATTAAGTATTTTTAAAAGTAAAAAAAAAAAATCACAATACTACAACTGCAAGTCTGTAAGTTGTTAATGTATTGTAAGTATTAAGAAAATACGAAATAGTAAATACCCAGTGTTTTCACAGACTGAAAACAATTTCAAAATGTTTAATACTAGATCTAGATCTAGATTCTAATATAAATCAACTAGACTACTAGATTCTATGTTGATCTAGCTAGATCTACTTGATAGACATTAGTACATTAGATCTGTTGCCTAAACTTTATTTAATAAATTTAATAAATATTTCTTATAATATTTAATGAATGGACTTTGATCTTGACAGGCAGTCTTACTCTTACACTTAATTTGACTTAAACTCTACTACTTTACTTATAGCACTAGATATCTAGAGTCTAGAGTATTCTAGAATTCTAGAGTATCCTAGATCTACAATCTACAAAAATTTGTTCTTTTTAGGCAATATTAACCTTTTTATTCTTATTAATATTAATAAAGTATTGCTGAAGGTGATTTCCTTCAAAATAATTGCCTCTCGTCATGTGATGATGGCCTGTAACCTGTTGTTTCTGACTTACCCTGCTTTTCTTAGTTTATTGATTTGCTTCCATAGCCTTAGCCTTAGTTCAAGCAAGAACAATTTGCAAGACAGCAAGTGTTTGATTTTGGTGTTTTCTCCTCTAAATAGATCATTTTCCCCAGCCAACAAAACTCATCTGCCTGGCGATCCAAACTCTTTTTGGGTTAGCAAACGAGACTCTCCCCCCCCCTCCCCAACCATGTTGACATCGTTGTTCAGGACTATTTTTACTACTTATGATCATGTTTACCACTATTAAATAGGTCAGACACAAGGCCATTATCATTAGGTCAACTCAATTATTTTTTTACTGCCAGTATCTAATTATATTACCAGCATTTTATAGAATACTTATAAGATTATAAGACGAACTACAAAATTAAATCAAGTTTCACACTTTGCAATTGTATAATCTCATGCTCTGCAGAAAATCTGCAACATTAGATCAATCCTGTTTTCTCAATGCTCTAACCATTGAGACTTGATGTACTGAAAGTATAGACTCAAAGTCATGCACAGATCTTTGCTAACACATACAAAGTTATAATAATTAAATACATTTCTTTCTTTACAGAGCCTTATTAAATCATTATATACTGTTCATTTGTCCTTTTTTACACATTTTAAAATTAAACCTCTCTTCAATAATTGAGATTACACACTTTGCCTTAAAAAGTACTTGTCATTCTGTAGAATACCTTGGTAAAGTATACAATAAAAATTATTATTTGAAGTTTTTTTGTATTTTGCCTGCTACAAAAAAATAAACAATATAAATTTGATTTACATTTAAAAACCTCTACAGTTGGGCAAAACAAAGTACCACAAGTCTCATCATTTTGATTATGAAAATGAAACTGCCTTGATGGTAGGGGCTCAGAAACCAGGAATTGGTGGGGAGCCTCTTTTAGGTCAGAAATATAAGCCCAGGAACACTGTTTTTCCTAAAGGACAAGGTAGTGATTTGCCATCATGGGTAGCCTTTGACAGACAGGTAAGACCAACATTTAAATTGTACATCTACATTTATTTTAAACGTATAGATAATTCACTGTAGTTCAGAAAGACGTGTAAGTAAAATTAACAGGGGGGTTTGATAAATATCTCAAATATAAATATTGATGTTTGTTATCAATGAAGCTTTTTATAGTTTGAGGTGATATAAAAAAATGTAATAATTTTAAAGATTAAATTTAGTTAATTACATAAATTTTTTTTTAAAATCTGATTTAACAGTTCATTTTTAAGCAATGTGCATCCATAATTAACCTTTACACACATTTTAAGGTACTTTCATTTGATGCCTACTATCAAGAAGCCGTTCATGAAAAGAGAGAGGAACAATACAGAGTGAGGAACTGCAAGATCTACTTTTATTTGGAAGATGACTCCATTCAGGTTTTGGAACCACGTCTTAAGAATGCTGGCATTCCTCAGGGTATAATAAACTAACACTCTATTAACATTAAATTACTGCTCACTTTATACTCGTTGCAAGTTGTTTTCATTCTGGCTTTGTATTTTCTTACCACTTTTTTGTTTTTTAATATCTTTAGAATTTATAATTTCTTGTCAATATCTTAATTCTGCACTCTGGTAAGTTGGTACGAATGTTTATGTAATTATGTTTAAAAAAGATTATTTTCTGCATTAGGCACCCTCATTAGACGTCATAGGATACCTCGCCCACCACCAAACGAAGATGAGTTTTATACTGCCGAAGACTTTAACATTGGATGTGAGATTTGTCTCTACTCTAAAGTCTTCAAGATTGTTGACTGTGATCAGTTCACACAGAACTTCTTAAGAAAGATGGGAACCAATGTTCAAAGACCAGCCAGGCCACCAGAGGATCCCTACATGAACTTCAGAAAAGCTGTAAGCATTCAAGAATTTAGCTACCTTATTTATTATTCTTTCTTGGGGTATGAATAAACCTGTACACATTGACATACATAGGCATAACAAAAGATGCAGACCATAGTAGTTGGATGAGTCTACCCAGCTTTGATGGGTACCTGACTTGAATTTGGGAAAATTAAGAGACCAATCAGTTCCTTAATATAAAAAAGTAACAGAAACAGGTGAACTCTACTTCATTTGCTTTACTAACTGACATGTTAGATGAAGGGTACTTATTTTGATAATATTTAAGACATAAATAATTTGAATATTTGATTGTTGAAAGAAAATTAACTTTGATGCATTAACTATTATTATTGCCCTTGATTTTTGCTTAAGATATTCAACACATGATCATTAATTTCAAGCACTGACTCACTAGGAATTATACATATAAAATTACACAGATATACTTAGAATCTATTCTTTTAATTAAAACTATCTCAGATGGATGAATCCATGAATCCACTCCGTCCTTATGAAAAGTACGACACTCTGAAACAGTTTTTGGATCACGACCGCCATGTTCTCCGTTTCTACTGTCATTGGGATGATTCAGAGAATTTGTTTGGGGATCCACGAGAGATGGTTCTACATTATTATCTTGCAGATGACACAATGGAAATTAGAGAGGTAAAGACCCAGCTGGGCTCACTCAGTGAGTGTTAAAAAAAATTGAAATTTGAACTATTTTTTTAAAAAATATCATGAAAACAAAAACAGGATTAAGAATCTATTATTAGAAAAAAAAAGAACACAAATATTTACAGAACATACACTTAGTGCTTCAATGGTCTGAAGAAAGTAATCGAACCCAAAACTGTTACAAAGCAGTGTTCTAATAATAGAATTCCTGCTTGCTAGCCTGCAAGTCACACGATTTGTTCTACAACTGACAGTCCTCCCCCCCCCCCCCAACTTTTAAATCAGATGCTATGGAATTTAAAGCCTAATGGAAACACAGGTCTAATGACTGGCTGCCTGTCGTTTGTCTTGCTTTAGAGCATTTTTTGAGCTGGCTATGCCCATATAAAAATAAAAACACGTTAGCACTTCTCTAGACTTAGCAAAAGGTTTATGCCCAAAGTTAATTTGATCCAATATACTTGTGTACATAAGTTCTCATTTATACCATGTCCCTGTTCTAGGTTATTCCGGCTAATTCAGGGCGTGATGCAGTGCCAGTGTTCCTGAAACGTATGAAACTACCCAAAACTCCAGGTAGTCTCCCCTTACCAGGGGTCATCACAGACAGGACAGTGCTCAATGTGTTTGGTGCCACTGGTCCGGGTAGTCGCTACATCCTTGATAACTTGAAGGTAGATTTTTAGTTTTTATTTGCCAGAAGTTGTTTAAAAAAAAATGTGTTGGCCAATTCAATAAAATATTTATAATATAACATTCTAAAATCAACATATTTTCAAAATGGAAATGCAGTTCTTTTGTTTTTATAACACAACTTCATTAAAGGAAATCAATGTTTATGAGCAGATTTATTCCAGTCTGTACAAGTATAGTTATAGGAAGGTCACTTTGCGAAAAAAATAAAACACTTGAAAATCAAATCTGAGTATGATTTTATTTTTAGAAAGTAAAAAAATGTAACTATTTGGACTAATATTTTGACTATAGACCTAATTAATATCCTAATTATCTTCTTTTTTACTGCTGTTTTAGACAGGAGCTGTTGACCAAGAATTCTACACAGACCGTGACTTGTCTCTGGGAGCTGTTCTGAATGTATGGGGAAGAAAATTTGTCTTGTGTGACTGTGATAACTTCACAAAAGAATACTACAAGACTAAATATGGAATAGGTAACTGTTGTCCCTATCTTATTTCTGCTAGAACTCTTTTAAGTCAGTGCGCATGTTAACAAGGGTTTATTTCAGTAGTTGTTTTTAATCAATCAATGTTAAAAAATAGTTAATAAAAAGAAAATTGTTTCTGAGACATCTTTGTTCCTATCCCAGAAGAAACATTAAAACACACAAGAACCAGTTAAATATCTTACCAAAGTCGTGTACTCATTAGAGCTGTATTAGCTAAGGGGCATCTTTTTTTCTCCTTCATTCTTAATTGTAATATTGAAGGGGATTTCTTCCAACACAATTAAGTATAATGTGTCAACATTTTATGCATGTTTTTTTTTGCTGGATTTGCAAGGCAGCAGTTGTTTGAGTTTGGATTTTTCTCTGCTAGATTGGTTGTTCTCCCCAGGTAATGAACATTATCTGCCCAGGGGCTCGATCTCTTGACTTTTGGAGTTAGCAATCATGCTGGACTACAATGTCCCCTAAAGAGCGCAACTTGAATACAAACTGTATTTAAAACCAGCGTCCCAATCTAGTAATAATCTGCATTACCACCCTATGTTCTAAAGCCAATGTTTCTATAATAGTTTAATTTTTAAATATTGTGCTACTGAAATGATCAGTTTTTATGCCATAAACAAATTTTAATTTCAATAAAACTATTGAGAAAGACAAGTAAAAAGCTCAAGGCTTGGTGGTGCTCACCTTGTTTAGTAAAGAGCCACTTTATCACTGTACGTCTTCATACGTCTTTATATTAAGAATTATTCTTTACATCCACAACCAAAAAAGCTCTGAATTTTTACATCCTTTACTTCTAGAGGAAATGACGCCAGTGACTTATAAAGTAGAAAAAACAGTCCAGCTCCCCCAGCAGACCCCTCCTTATAATGGTTTTGGTAGCGAAGAAGATTCTCAGTGCTCATGTAAAGGGCTACTTCCAAAGCCTCCTAAACGGGATTTCATCAAGTTCATGGAGCGCGACAGGAGTGGCTTGGACAGCAATGTCTTGAGGTTCCTTGCCTTGATGGAAACTAAAAAACCCATTGACCAGGATCGCAAGTTTATTGTCTCTTATTTCATGTCTGATGATTCTATTTTGGTATTTGAACCACCTGTAAGAAATTCAGGTAAATATATGAGTAGCTTAAGCCTGTGGTTAAACTTTTTGAAAAACTTTCATTAATAATATAATAAATTAAACAATACAATAAAGATAAATAAGAGAAAGTAACAAATTTCACATGATTTTCATTCAAAATTAAAGTAATTTCCTTATATGAAACAATTATTTTAAAATCCACTTACACAGAAAGTTGAATTGTCAATTATATAGTAAGATCTTTTATATATTTGTTTACTAAAAGGTCCAAAAAGATCTAATAAATAACAGTATCAAAACTCAGTGGAAGGAAAAGCTAAAAATAAATTATTACACATAACCTGTATAAAAATTACAAATAGATACTATCTAATTTTGAAAAAGCATAAATTCATTTTATTTTTGTGAATATCTGAGTAGATCTAATTTGTGTGTATTTAACAAGGCATATCTGGAGGAAAGTTCCTGGAAAGAAGCCGTGTTAAGAAACCCAATCAGCCGAGATACAACACAGAAAACTCTCAGTATTACAGTGCTACTGACCTCTATGTTGGTGCACATGTCGAGTTCAACAATTTCAAATTTGTACTCGTGGATGCTGATGAGTACGCCTTCAAATTCATGGAAGACAACTCTCACATTGTTAGTACATACACTAAATTATAATTAGACTCCAAGAGTACAAGTTAAAAATGCTAATCAGTTGCGCAGCTACTGATAATACAATGTTGTTGATATTTTTCAGTTTGTTAAGAGTAACATTGATGTGATCCTGATTTTTTTTCAGTTTGTTAAGAGTAACATTGATGTGATCCTGATTTTTTTTCAGTTTGTTAAGAGTAACATTGATGTGATCCTGATTTTTTTTCAGTTTGTTAAGAGTAACATTGATGTGATCCTGATTTTTTTTCAGTTTGTTAAGAGTAACATTGATGTGATCCTGATTTTTTTTTCAGTTTGTTAAGAGTAACATTGATGTGATCCTGCAAAAAATTGCCGCCAGACTGGGGCCCAACAAAGAAGATATTCAAGCCTTCTTTGCTAGAACAGACCCAACTGGATCTGGTTATCTCCCCTTTGAGAAATTCAGGGATATGGTTCTCACCATTGAGCCATCATTGACAGAGCAGGAGGTTGGTAGTTCAAATAAGGAGGGCTTTGTACATAGGATCAAATCTAGAAGGGCAATTTACATTAGCAGTAACATTATAAAAATGTAGGTTAGAAGTAGTATTATAAAAATATAGAAAGGCTTTTAAAATAGCAGTAACATTATAAAAATGTAGGTTAGAAGTAGTATTATAAAAATATAGAAAGGCTTTTAAAATAGCAGTAACTTTATAAAAATGTAGATTAGAAGTAGTATTATAAAAATATAGAAAGGCTTTTAAAATAGCAGTAACATTATAAAAATGTAGATTAGAAGTAGTATTATAAAAAGAATAGAAAGGCTTTTAAAATAGCAGTAACATTATAAAAATGTAGAAGGACATTTTACATTAGCAGTAGCATTATAAAAGTGTAGATAGGCATTTTACATTACATGTAGTTTTTAATTTTACAGCATTTTCAAAGGACTAATATTTTAAAAACAATCAGTGCTCTAATTCTCAATAAAGGGCAGCGTTTTTAAAATAAGGTTTTTGTTTTGTAGGTCATAACAGTGGCAAGACAGTACAGTGACCGCAAGTCGGACATCATCTTAGATGCTGATAAACTGACAGCTGTCATGCAGGAGGAGCTCATAAAGAAAAACTTTGAAGACTTTAGCTCTTTGATAGATTCTCTCAGACACTTAGACAAGAACTGGTATGTTGTTTTACCCCAGTTCATTGCTTTAGCTCTTTGATAGATTCTCTCAGACATCTAGACAAGAACTGGTATGTTGTTTTACCCCTCTCATTGCTTTAGCTCTTTGATAGATTCTCTCAGACATCTAGACAAGAACTGGTATGTTGTTTTACCCTCTCATTGCTTTAGCTCTTTGATAGATTCTCTCAAACATTTAGACAAGAACTGGTATGTTGTTTTACCCCAGTTCATTGCTTTAGCTCTTTGATAGATTCTCTCAGACATCTAGACAAGAACTGGTATGTTGTTTTACCCACTCATTGCTTTAGCTCTTTGATAGATTCTCTCAGACATCTAGACAAGAACTGGTATGTTGTTTTACCCCAGTTCATTGCTTTAGCTCTTTGATAGATTCTCTCAGACATTTAGACAAGAACTGGTATGTTGTTTTACCCCAGTTCATTGCTTTAGCTCTTTGATAGATTCTCTCAGACATCTAGACAAGAACTGGTATGTTGTTTTACCCTCTCATTGCTAATGTGGTTATGAGATTAGAAACATTGTTTACTTCCTCTCTTTTTAAGCTCTATTTCCATCTATTTCTAGTCTTTTTTTCTTACTTTCATAAATGATAATGTTTTAATTTATTTGAACAGCTGTTGTTCATATTTTTTATTATAATTTTTAAAAAGTTTTATTGTAATGATCTCTCACATCATCATTACTTTAACAAAAAACACTTTTTTGTATAAACTGCATTTATAATCCCTTCTTTTAGGATTCTTTTTTTTTTTAAAATACTTGTAACCATCATTATGTATAATTACCTTAAATATGGTTATAATTTTAAAGTATAACTTTCACTTTTAACTAAAAATTACCTCCCCTAGCACTGGCTATTTGGAGCGTGAGATCATCAGGAGAGAGTTTTTGGCCCAACATGTTCCACTGCCTGAAGATATGCTCAGAGCAGCTCTGTCCATGTAAGTGAAAATATTACTTTCTATTTAACCAATCCAAAATACATCAAAATGTCTTTCTTCTTTGTTCTTAGTTGTAATGTTGGCCAAGATTATATTCCAACACAATCAAGTATTACATGTCAACATGTTATGCACCATATGCCCCATTGACTCTGAAATCAGCCTGCTTTTCTTTTTAAATTTGCTTCCATAGCCTTTGTCAACAAACTACCAGGCCTTGAAGTCTATTGCCCAAAATATTTTTATTCATTATTTGTTGAGTTAATTGTAACTTGTAGATTAAAAGTTGTTCAGCTTTTTAATAGCATCCAAAATTGTTTCAATACAATATTTTTACTTGAGCTATTTTAATAAATGAGCACATAAAAAGTAATAATTTATGATACAAATTAGTAGCACTATTTGTAATATTCATCATTCATGTTTATCATTAACTTTTACGTGCTAACTAAAAATATTTTTGTTTTTGTATGTAAATTATTGAACACTTAATGAATTGATTTTAATACTCTATTTAGTCAATTAAAATTTGAGTTTAAAAATAAAAAATTTTTTTTTGGCAGTTGATTTTGCCTCTAATTCTATTTTAATTAAATTTATTTTTGATTACTTACTTTGGAAGCAACTTCTTAACTCTTTAAAATTCAACAATTTTTATCAAAACCATTATTCACAGAGCTCGAACTTCAAATAACAACAATGAGTTGGTTGCCTACGAAGAGTTTGTGACCTCTCTCAACTGGCACACCCGCCCAGCTCAGCCTATCCAGTATCAAGCAGTGGACGATGAACAATGGACTGGCACTAAAACCCAAAACCAGATCACCCATGTCAACTACAAACCTCTGCTGCAGAGAATATTTGGAGATATTAAGGATTAACATTCACATTCTTAATTTATCTTGGAATGAATTTTTTTTTTACATTAACTGTGATAATATTAATCATTTAAAATTATGTTTACATGACTTCTAAGGTATTTTTCTTACATTAAATCACTATCTGGAGTATCTGTTATATACTTTAAAATTTCTTGAAAAGTCATTAACAGTCATTGTTAATAGGAGAGAAAATAATTTACAATAGGCTCACTATCACTCAATTGTTTTAATAATATTCATATGTTACATTGTGAATACGGGCCATAATTTTGTTTCTTCTAACCTGTATTGAAAAAAATATTAAAAGACATGTAAATTGTATGTTTTTTAAAATGTCAGATCAATATTTACAAAACTTTAACTGCTTTGTGTTATCAGGTTATAAGCTACTGAATATGGAGTTCATCTCTTGAACAATTTTTAACAGAGTTTTCAAAAGCAGTCTTACTCTTATTTAATCAACTTCATTATCTGTTTGTTGCAGTTATTGTTACTAGGAATGTGAGTGCAGAATTTGTTGAATGGGTAATGATTAAGTTTTGAAAAAACTACATGTTTAAAAATTAGGATTTTATCAATTTTTATATTCTAAATCTACAAATTTAAAAAAAAAGGCTAATTATTTGTATACACTTAATAGACCTGCCTTTTTTAAGCTTATGTAAGTAGCATAAAAATTAAACATGTTTTATAAATTATCTGATTTTTTTAATGCGGTCTTCTAATGTGTTTATTCCACTGAACGTGATGAGTCAGAATGAATGAGAGCAGATTTTAACTTGAGAACAAAATACTAAATGCAGAACAACATTAAAAAATGCATAGTGTATATCTAAATATATATATATATATATATATATATATATATATATATATATATATATATATATATATAAATAATATAATCTTATCACTCTTTAAAATCTTAACAAAACGTGTGTCATTTTAAAATCATTCAACTATTCCATGATAAATTATAATGTTCAAAACCTCATATGTTTCAGGATAGTTACTTTTTAGGTTGTAGATCGGAAATTTTTATGTCTTTATAAAAAAAGAAATAATGCTTTGCTAAATTTATCTCTAACTGAAAGTTTTTGGAGAAATAACACTAAACTATGGATTTAGAGTTATAGTTGTATATTATATTTATAAGGTTTGGATATACATATTTTCTTAATTTTATGTTGAGTAATTCTACATCAATAGGACAAATATATAGGACAGATGTATTAAGAAACCATAAATGGAATGATCCACCAGCATTCATTATTTGAAAATGATATAGTCTTTGTTGAAAATTAAAATAATATGAAAGATTTTTAACAATACAGAGTTGTCTTGTTTAATTTACACTGCTTGGAAGGGGAGGGAGGAAGAACTATTATGCAACTGACTTCAGCAAGTTTGTTGTTTAGCTGTAAAGCTAAATGTATATTTGGTACTATCTTTGTTATAAATATTGAGGTTTATTCTGACAATAAACCCTTGAAGGATCCAACCTTGAATTCTAAGTAGGAGTAAAAAAAAAATATGGGGGAGGAGGGGTGCTAAGCATCTTTGTCCTTCATGAGATTGATACAAAGCAACACAAATACACGTTTAAAATGATTTAGAACAGACCTACGTATATACAAAATTAGAAATAGGCAAAAAGGTTTGGTTATTTTTATAGACCTACATTTCTCCAAAAAGAATTTATTTTCAAAATCTTTTTTGGAGTGGGAAGGGTTAACAACAACCAGCACTTATGGGTGTTAGCAGTCATTTCGTTGTTAGTATTTTTTTTTAAATTTTTTTTGTAAACTGTAATACAGACTGATCAATGTTTTTAATACAGAATTTCAGTATTAAGTTGTGGTTAGCTGAGCTGATAACAGCAACCTAACTAGAGCATAAGATAATCTATTTTAAAAAAAATCCCAAATGGATAAAAACCGGGAAGTGGATACATTGGATAAAAAGATGACAGTGCATCTCCAAAACGGCCCGGAACAAATCGGCCCCGTCAAAACGGTCACGTTAATATGACCCCGTCAAATCGACCCCCGACAAAACGACCCCGTCAAAATAGCCCCGACTTATTGGCTCCCGTCAATTGGGCTCCCGTCATACTGACTCGCGACATATAGGCTCCCGACAAATGGGCTCCCGACATTTAGGCTCCCGACAAATGGACTCCCGACATATTGGCTCCCGACAAATAGGCTCAGGACATAAAGGCTCCCGACAAAGTGGCTCCCGACATATCGGCTCCCGACATAAGGGCTCACGGCATATTGGCTATCGACAAAAGGGCTCCCGACATTTTGTTTTGATAACCTACAAGCATACTGCAGGTAGGGATGCACAGCGTGGACCCCTCTCCCCACACACTGAGTTGGAACAGCCTATAACCGACTCACAATATGAAGTCAAAGATAGATGACCCTTAACTTAAAACATACTATTTCTTATACTAAATAAAATAATATAAAAATAAGGCCTGCCGAACAAGAGATGCATAAGTTGTATTAAGAGTGTTGGATAAGCTAACTCTAAAGAATATTGATGAAGGGGTCCCACTGGGAGGTGTCATATTCAATGAGACTGTTTTGCAGGGAGACTTAGTCTCTACGGAAACCATATTGTCAGTGGTCCTTTAGTCGGGAGCCAAATTGACAAGAGCCTATTTGTCGTGAGCCAAAATGTCGGGAGCCTATTTCTCGGGAGTCGTAATGACGGGAGCCGTTTTGTCGAGAAACTAAATGACGGTAGCCTATTTGTCGGCAGCCTATATGACGGGGTCAATATGTCGCTGGCCATTTTGACGGGTCGATGTGACGGGGTTGATTTGACGGGGCCGATTTGTCGGGGTCGTTTTGACGGGGCCAGTGTTTCTTCCAGACTTTTTTCTCCGGGGGGGGGGGGGGGCACTTGAAATTTTCGGCTGAAGAGATGCCTGGAAGAAACTCTGGACGGGGCCGTTTTGTCATTGGCGGCCGGGTTTTGACGCCGCACGTTAATTTGAATTGTTTTTACCCACAATTTTTGTTTTTAATTTTTGTATCCAAAATGGTTGAACGTCGTTTTGTTAGTAGTTTTTTGTCAAGATCGATTATTCAAGGCCGTTATTTAATTAAATTTAAATGTTTACATTACCGTCATAAGATTGAAACATTTCTGTAATCTTTGTTTCATTTTTAATATTTTTTATACAAGGGTGATAACAAACAAAAGTATGTAGTGAGATTAATTACAGTAGCCTCTCTTGTTTATTATTATTATTATCCGGGTAATATGTTTCCTAAGCGATTCTCCAAACAATCAAACAGCACTTCCGTCTGAAGGAACAAAAATGGCCAATAATAGGCTGAACCAGACGATTCTTCAAGAAATAGAATGGGATGAAGGACTCACGATGCCAGTTGCTAATGCGGAAAATAAGCAACTGGAAAATAAGGTTTGAAAAAAAAATTGTTTTAACATTGTCAGAATAAATAGGGGCTAACTGTGTATTACTTACTTAAAAGGACTGACTCAGGTCAGGATTCAGCTGGTCATTTCTGACTGTGAGATTCTATTCATTGTAATTGTAGATCTATGTAATGAGCAATCATATTAAAGTATGAATTGTATTTAGTATTTAATTTAATAATTTGGTATTCCTAAATAGGCTCTGTGCCTGATAACATTAAAAAAAGTGTAAGCTTTACCCTACTAACAGTAGATCTAGTACTACTGTCCTATTAAATCAGCCAAACTGTTTGCAAAAACAATTATACTCTGCTTTTCATTATTTAGCTATTGAGTCACAACCAAAAAAGCTATGTTAAAGTGTCAAACACCTGTTGAAGATAATATTTTTGTTTCAAATTTTGGAATATTTCAGGTTCAAGAGAAGCAAAACTTAATTGTAGCAACTCAAAATGAGTTGAAAGAGGTAGATGAACGCACAAGGGCTATGCAAGAGCACCTGAGAAATATCCTCCAAGAGCTTCAGCATACTCAGGTAATAAAAACTTATTTTAACATTAACTTAGGAACATTCATTAATTTTCAATAGTTACCATATAATTTCCTTAAGTAGTAAATTAAAAATAACTCTAAAGAATGTTTTTCTGTGTGAAGGGCCTTGTTGCAGCTAGACAAAAGGAAGTAGAAACAGAGGATCACCTTTTTAAAATTGCAGAGAGGGAAGATGGACGGCTAAAACAAGAAATTTTAAGACTTAAAAAACAGATGGATGATTTAAAGGAGAAGAAAAATTCACATGAGGTAGGCTTATAAAGACATTGCACAATTTTCTAAAAAGCATATAAATAACCTTAACAATCAAATTATGCATTTATGTATTTCTCCCAATACATGTTTAGCACAAATATGTTATTTTTTATCCTTTTATTTTTCACTGTGCAGTACAATTTTATAAATAAAATTTATGCATAATAAAGCAATAATAAAATAAGCTGAACTAAAACTTTTCAATTCCCAGAACAATATATTCAAGAAGACTCAAAAGCTGGAGGAGCTCAAGTCACAGATGAATTGGGATCAGCAAGCCCTGGAGGCCTGGCTTGAAGAGTCTGCTCGTAAGGATGAAGATTCCATGACCTTGCAAAAATATACACGCCAAGATGAAAGTAAAATTAAGGCATGTAACATTTTTTTTAAAAACTATATTAGATGAGTTTTATTACATAAATACATTTTATAAACTTAACACTTATGATGTTTGTTAGAAATATATTTGTTCTCAAAATTTTATAGTAGCCCAGTCTTAAAGCTATATTTTTTTAAATCTTCAGGAACTATCACTGCGTATGGAAAAACTGATGGGTGAAGCTCAAAAGAAGAAACATCAACTGGACACTGAAATGACAAATACACTGACTTCACAGGTATTTTGTTATAAAAATAAATTCTGGTACAACTAAACAGAATACAAAAGCTGGGGGGAATGTGGTTCAACCAATCAAGTTTTATGTTTCTCTCATCTCTCAAATGATGGATTATTTTCTACCAGCTGTCACCATTGCTGGGCTCATCTTAATGATAAAATTATTTATGTTGTCTTGGCTCTATTTTTCTAGGCTTTCTGTATTTTGATCCTTGTCATCCTTCACATCTCATCCCATAGGGCAACTGGGAAATATCATTAAACTTTATTTTGTGCTTTCAATTTATAGACAATAAACATTTGAATTTCTTTACAATAGATTGAACTTGACAAGATAGCAGAAGATTTCCGCAAGGCTCATACAGAGAGAGAAGAACTTTTGTCACAATGGGAAAATACTATTGAACAAATGCAAAAAAGAGACAGAGATATGGACATATTAGCTACTGTAAGTTTTGACATTCCTCACTCATTGTTATACTACAATTAATAAAATTTAAAAAAGCAGTATGCCTACATTAAAATATTTCTAGAATTTTATTCTCTAAGTTAACTCTTGTTTTGTTATTTACATGTATAGAAGACTTTCATTATAAACGTATATGTGGTATCAACACTTATAAAATCATAATCATAAAAAATGATAAAAATGTATATTGTATATCATATTCAGACAATAACTGACTATACTTTATGGCGTATTTTTGGCACTAATATATCCTAGCACACATTTAATAAATAAGCAATACACAGAATTCTTATAGCACTTTAAATTATTTTAAAATCCTGATTAGAAAATTATAGCTTTTAATTCTTCTCTGTGTTAGAAAATAGCAAAAGTAAAACAGGAGGTTCGACAACACGAAGACATCATCCGGGAAAAACAACAGTTTCTAGAGCATGAGCTAGACAACAATGCAGAGCAGGAAAAAAAGATTTCTGCAGCAGAAAGGATAAGTGCACGCACCAGGAATGAACTACAAGAGGCAGAGTTACAAAAATCACAGTTTGAAAATGAGGTATAAGTATTTCTTTACTAGTTACTTTAGTTTAAAATATAAAGTGTTATTAGATAAGTATACTTTTGCCTGAAATTAATGTTCTTGTGCTAAAAAATTTCTGCCGTTAACTATTCTAAAATGTGCTGAAATTTGTCTGTAGTTAACAATTTTAAAATGTGCTAAAACTTTGTCGATAGTTAACAATTCTAATATGTGGTAAAATTTGTCTGTAGTTGACAACTCTAAAATGTGCTAAAATTTGTCTGCAGTTAACAACTCTAAAATGTGCTAAAATGTGTCTGCAGTTAACAATTCTAAAATGTGCTATAATTTCTCTGTAGTTGACAACTCTAAAATGTGTTAAAATTTCTCTGTAGTTGACAGCTCTAAAATGTGCTATTATTTCTCTGTAGTTGACAACTCTAAAACGGACAGTGGACAGGACTGCGATGGACCTGGAGTCTGCCAGAATGGCTGTTGTACAACTGAAGAAAGAAGCTGTTGATAAAAGTAACAAGTGAGTGAGATAAATGTTTGAATTATTACAGAGCTACGTTGCACTATTTATTCATTTGACTGCTAAAGCAAGTATCTCATAACATGCTAAACTGGATAAAAGGTTACCTAAGCAACCGAAAAGCATCAGTCTCCATGCAAGGAAAAAGAAGTCACACAGTAACTATAAAAAATGGAGTCCCTCAAGGAGGAGTCTTGTCTCCTACTCTCTTCCTCATTTATATAAATGACTTAAATGAAAACATCCCAAGGAGAGTAAAAAGAAGCATGTTTGCAGACGACCTTTCACTAATCAGCACAGAGGAATATATTGGTACCTCAAAATTTCGTCTCCAAGAAACACTTGACAAGCTCGGCAAATGGACCAAAAACTGGGGCTTATCCATCAATACCAAGAAAACAACTTATTCAATCTTCACCTTATCAACTAAACATAAAAAAATGAAACTAACCCTAGAAAATCAAGAGCTAGAAAAAAATGACCACCCCAAATACCTAGGAGTCACTTTTGACACTCGACTTACGTGGAGAAAACAAATAGAAAACACACAAAGTAATGGGATCAAAAGACTTAATCTAATGAGGAAACTGGCAGGAACAGACTGGGGAGCAAATCACCACATCCTGAAAAAAACCTACACCAGCTATGTGAGACCTACGTTAGAATATGGTGCTTCGGCTTGGGGCTCAGCAGCAAAAACAAATATTAGCAAAATTGACAAAGTTCAGAACATTGGTTTGAGAATAATGACAGGAGCCATGAAAACAACCCCCATAAAAGCTATGGAGGAAATAGCCGCCCTTAGCTCAATAGAAGAAAGAAGAGAATCAAAAATCCTCACTTAATACACAAAGCTAGAGGCACTGGAAAACCATAACCTAAAACAAAAACTCCAGAAACCCAGTCCATCAACCAGACTACAAAGAACAAGTTTCATCAAAGAAGCAAAGAATCTGAAAAAGAAATATGAAATCGACAATATCATTCCTGAAGCAATAAAAACTCAAAACCTCTCCCCGCCTTGGATCTCCAACTGTCACTTAACCATTATTGACTCAATAGACACCATAGGAAAAAAATCTGACTGTGATCTAGAAGAACTTAAGAAAATAACAAATAAACACATTAAGGATCAGTACCCCAGCAATACCTGGATTAGAGTTTTCACAGATGGCTCAGCTGAAGATGCCACAAAAAACGGCGGGGCTGGCATCCTTATTGAATGGCCAAGCGGAGAAAGCCTGGAAAAGGCAATAGCCACAGGCAGCCTATCCGACAATTTTAGGGCAGAAAAAGAAGCTTTAGAACACGCAGCAAACCTCCTGTCAGAACACCCTGAATCACCAAATAGTCAGATTGTATTTCTTACAGATGCCAAATCAGTCCTGCAATCCCTACAAAATCCGGAGTCCTATATTCAAACACTTATGACAGCACTAGAGAGGCTAAAAAATACCTGCAGCAGAATTGTGCTGCAGTGGATCCCGGGCCACTGCCAGATCCAGGGTAACGAGATCGCAGACCAGCTGGCAAAAATTGGGGGAAAGAAACCACAACCGGAAATTTCGCTACACCCAAAAGAAATAAAAAGAATAATTAAAAACAAACAATCGCAAATGTGGTCTGTCACACACCCTCACTACATTAAAGACGACGGCTTTTACAATTTAACACGAAAACAACAATACATAATCTTTCGACTTAGAACAGGCCACAACAGACTAAATCAACACATGCACAAAAAACTGAAGGTTGGGTGTAGCGAAATGTGCCCTTGTGGCAAGGCCCCGGAAAACACGGAGCACGTACTCCAGGAATGTACTCTGTATAGCCAGGCAAGAGGCAGACACTGGCCCCAGCCCACCCCACTCAGGGAAAAATTATATGGGACACCTGACAAACTGGAAACCACAGTCCGGTTTGTCCACGAAGTTGGACTTGTTGTCGAATCCTTCACCACATTCAAAAATTAAGAACGAAGAAGAAGAAGAAAGAAGAAGACTGCTAAAGCTAATATTTTAAAATGACCAAACAAAATTATTTCAGAAAATGTAGTTTTTAAACAACTAAAAAAGTGGCTTTGTAAAAAAAAAATATTTTTTTATAAGATTTAGCATCTTGCTTTTTTTGTAATGTAATTTATATATTGTAATTATCATAGCCAAAATATAAAGTAGATCTTAATCTAGAAATATTTGTCTACAGACTTGCTCAGACAACAGCTTTGAGGATGAGTCTTGTTGAGAATCTAAAAGATGCAGTGGAGGCTACACTCAATGCAGAAGAGAGGGCCACTAAGGTGGAAGAGATATTGAACCTGGAGGAGAAAAGACAAGACAGCATGCGCATAGATCTCAAACTCCTGGAAGAGTTGTTGTACAAGAAAGGGAAAGAACTAACAGATGCCAAAGCCTCAGAAAAGATGATAGAAGCTGCAATTAATGTAAGAAAAAATTATTTCTAATGCTTTAATAGAAATTAATTTGTTTTTTAAGAAAAAGATAGCCTTCATATTAAAAAATGAAAGTTCCATTACATTGGTATAAGAAAAAATAATAGGCATATTTAAAAAAGCAATGTGAAATTAAACTTTCTTAAAATGTCTTCAGGGTGCACAAAATGCAATTAAAAACCTAAGCAGTAAAATAGAAAGACTGGACACTGATGCCCTCAAACAACAGGAGATTCTCTATAGCCAGGTTGGTTGGTGAATTTTTTAATGAGTTTCTTGATGAATTTGCTTAAAGTAATAGGTTTCTCTTAAAAAATTTGTTGCCGAGTATTTTTTTATTATGCAAAAATGCTTACTAATTTAATTTTTAGCGCAATTTCCATTCTGGAGAATTGCGTTTATTAACCCGTCATTTCTGGATGGATGGATGGATGGATGGATGAATGTGTGTCCGCAGCTTTAAGTCGTATCTCCTCCTCAACGAAGCAATATCGATGACTAGTTCCAAAAGCAATTATGTTAAGCAAGTTACGAGGATGAACATAGGCCATAAAAATTCCGGGTTTCTTTCATGGATTTCCCAGAAAAGCCAAAAAATCTCGAAAAAAGCAGTTTTTGGCCCATATCTCGGCAACCAGACCACTTAGCGACTTGAAACATGTACCAATCGATTCCTGTCATAATTTAGAACAATATTGCCGAAGAAAGTTTTCAAAAATATTCTCTTGTTCGGTCACAAATTTTAAAATTACATAAACACCTACAAACCGATTGTTCTTCTAGCTTGAACGCACCCCAACATTATACGTCAGAGCTATTTTTAGATAACATAAGGAAATTGCGCACAAATGTCACTAGACTTTTTTAATTAACTTGTTTTATTCAAATCCATGTTAACTATAATCTCCATAATATTTTGATAACAGGACTTTAACCTGCAACAATTGGAACGAAGAGTTATTAGAATGCAAGGGGAACACAACACAGAACAAAAGACTCTACTGGAAGCAAAGTGTAAACAATTGTTTCAAGAACTGGACAATAAGAACCAGACTTTCAACATGTTAAACACACAGCTCAAACGACTTCAGGTGGGTACTGTAGCTCTTCTATTTAAAGTCACATTCATCTTTCATAGTTTTTTCCTCTTTAATTATATATCTTTTTATTCTAATTGCATCTATTTTATATTTTTTGCTGCCTAATTCAAAATCACATCATCTTTATTTTTATCTATCAATTTTTTTCTGTTCTGTTACTATTATAAAATTATATTCATCTAGTAGCTTTACTTTTATATAAGTCATTTGATCTGTTATTGAGGATAACATACATAATTAAAATATAATTTGTGTTCTTTTATTTTTTTGTTTTGTTCCTTTCTATAAAAATATTTCTGTAAAAAAACATGATCTCTTGCTATACTTCATACCTTTACCTTTTAAATTTACTGTTCTTCCATTTGTTCTTTTGTTTAACCTTGCCACATCATATCCACTTTATTAATGAATGAACTAATTTCTTGCGTTTTGTTTATTTACCTACCTATTTGTGTTTTAACAGGATGATCTTCGCCGCTCCACTCGGCAGCTAGAGTCCACTAACTTAGAGAAAGAAGATTTAAGTGTGAAGATAGTTGAGCTGAATCTGTACAATGATAATTCAGAAGCTGAGTTGAAACGTGTTATCAGAACTAAGCAGGTTGGTCAATGAAAACATACAAAATATGCTTAGCTATGGATCTGATTTCACAGTGAAAGAAATCTTATCTTATCCATATTCTAATTCCACCCAAAGTTGGAGAAAAATTGCTATATGCTTAGCACTAACTATTTTTTAAAAATATAAATATACCAACAACTGCCATTATCTATTTGTATGTTTCTTTTTTTTTAAATTATTGATTTAAAACGTAACTAATAATTGTTATTGGTATATTTCTTGGTTCACATTGGTCACAGCATATGTGGCATTTAAAATCATTTAAATAAAAGTTTCAGCAAAAATTTCTTATAAAAATTTGAATATTTCAACCAATCAGTGAGCGCATTACACTTTACTTCTCAAGGATTCCATGGTTGATGAAAATCTCCTGAAGCTTGAGATCAAGAAACTCCGAGACCTTCTCAATTCCCATGCTGATGATGTCATGTCACTAGAACAAAGAAAACTCCAGCTGGACACAGTGAGTTCCTTGTTTGGTGTCACCCTGAGTTTTCTGCCTACACTTGTCATATTTTTTGTTTGGTGTCACCCTGAGTTTTCTGCCTACACTTGTCATATTTTTTGTTTGGTGTCACCCTGAGTTTTCTGCCTTCACTTGTCATGTTTTTTGTTTAGTGTCACCCTGAGTTTTCTGCCTACACTTGTCATGTTTTTTGTTTGGTGTCACCCTGAGTTTTCTGCCTACACTTGTCATTTTTTTTTGTTTGGTGTCACCCTGAGTTTTCTGCCTACACTTGTCATGTTTTTTGTTTGGTGTCACCCTGAGTTTTCTGCCTACACTTGTCATGTTTTTTGTTTGGTGTCACCCTGAGTTTTCTGCCTACACTTGTCATGTTTTTTGTTTGGTGTCACCCTGAGTTTTCTGCCTACATTTGTCATATTTTTTGTTTGGTGTCACCCTGAGTTTTCTGCCTACACTTGTCATGTTTTTTTTGTTTGGTGTCACCCTGAGTTTTCTGCCTACACTTGTCATGTTTTTTGTTTGGTGTCACCCTGAGTTTTCTGCCTACACTTGTCATGTTTTTTTTGTTTGGTGTCACCCTGAGTTTTCTGCCTACACCTGTCATGTTTTTTTGTTTAGTGTCACCCTGAGTTTTCTGCCTACACTTGTCATGTTTTTGGACATAGTTTTTTTCTTTAAGGCCATCTTTATTACCTCTCGATCATAGTCGTGTAGATGACAATAGTTGTCTGAATATCTATGGGTCTGCGTGGTCGAGTCGGTAAAGCTCATGGTTGCTAAACCGAAAAGTCTCGAGTTCGAACCCTTCGGGCAGATGAGGCTCGTTAGCTTGGGGACAGCCACTCTTCTAGGAGAGACAACTCCAAAATTAAACAACTGCTGCCTTGTAGTTTGTTCTTGGTTGGACAAAGGCTATGGAAGCAAATCCAAAAAGAAAAGCAGGCTGAAATCGGAGTCAATGGCCTCAATGGCGCATAACCAGTTGACACGTAACGCTTAATTGTGTTGGAGGCGTGGTCGAGTCGGCAAAAAGCTCATGGTTGATAAATTCGAACAAAGTCTCAAGTTCAAACCCACTGGTAGATAAATCTCGATCCCCTTCAACACTAATAATTAAGAACGAAGAAGAAGAAGAAGAGTCTGAATATCTCTCATAATTGATTAATTATCATTAACTTCACCTATTATTCATATTTTTATTAGTCCTTTTTTATGTGGTAATTATTTATAAAAGTATATCTTTTAAAGTCCATTTGTCCATAGGTTTTTGGTTTGACTTAAACTGTGGTATACTACACTCAGAATTTTTGGTTACATTTTCTGTCATGTATAATTTTTTAGACATAAATATAACTGCTTAAATTTTTTAGACATTAAAATTTATAAAGTATATCCATAGTTTATGTGATACTAAAATGTACAGCTACAATTTTCATTTAGCCGTTTTGAAATGAGAGAAGTATATTTCATTTTAATCCTAGGCTATGAAAGAAAGACATGAGGAAATCAAGATCCACAAGGAGATGTTGTTAGCTCAAGTCAAGGCCACAGAAGAGGAGAGACAGCAAATAAGTGCTGAACTACATGAAAGAATCTCTAAGATAGACAAACTTCAAAAAAGGTCTCAGTTATTTTTCTACTGCTAAATCTAGTTGGTACCTATCTGTGTGCGCCCTGATTTTTAGCTATGTCTACAACTAAAAACATCCTTTGTGATGTCTGTGAAACTGTTTTGGATGTGACTTGCAGGTATGAAATATTGATGGTGTCCATGTCTGCTCCTGATGGACAAGAGGAACAGTCACAAGCTTACTATGTCATTCGAGCTGCTCAAGAAAAGGAAGAGCTACAGGTTAATAAATTGCTATACACACACATTTTATTTTCATTGTCCTCAGTAACACATTTTTTTTTAAAAACTTAAAATAAAATAAATATTATAGTAAGTCAGTAAGATGATGTTGTAATAGTCACATAGTGGTAATAGTACCGTAATACAGTTGTAAGTAATCAATTTTTTATGTTTAAATGTGTAGGTAGTTTATAAAGATTTAATAATTTCTACAGAGAGAAGGAGACAGTCTAGATGCAAAGATAAGGAAAGCAGAAAAAGAAATCAAGGCATTAGAAAATACACTTAAATTAATGAATGGACGAAATGAACAGTACAGAAAAAGTTTTAACAAAATTACAGAATCCAGTGAGTAATTTTTGTAATTAGTTAATCAGTTGTAGGCTGTACAATTCTTTAAATGATATTTTAAACTTTTTGAATCCATTGTGTGTCATAAAAAGATTATTGGTACAAAAGCAATTTAATGACTCTGTCATATAATATGGAGCATGTTTGTAAGTAATTTTTAAAAAGCATATTGAAATAAAGCAATCTAGATATATAAATATTTTTACTCAGGCGATGAAATGGATGAAAAACGACAGTTGGATGAGCAGATGAGGGCAGTAATGGACAAATACAAATATAAAAGACGACAGATCAGAGAGTTGCAGGATGATTTACATGTAAGCATTGTCTTGTCTGTAGTATCACATGTAAGCATTGTCTTGTCAGTAGTATCACATGTAAGCATTGTCTTGTCAGTAGTATCACATGTAAGCATTGTCTTGTCAGTAGTATCACATGTAAGTTGTAGGCCTACTACCTGCATGTAGTCTTGTCATTACTACATGCATTCAAAGTTTTGATTAGCATTGCCTGTTCTGTTGATTAAAGCTACAAGATAAATATTGATGTGTGTTGAACGTTGATGCTTTTGAAAGATGATTTCTTTTGTATGTGATGAGGGAAGACGCATGTTGAATATTCACTTCATTTGAATGATGCTGTCAGCTGAATGTTGATAGAAAAGACTATCATCTTATTTTATTTAGACGATGAGTATGACACTAGACACCTTGACGAGAGATGAAGATGCTTATGTGGCAATGATAGAAGACAAAAAGGTGAGAAATAATTTTTACATCTTTATTTTTTTACACAATTAATTCAAACAAATTCAAATACGATTGAATGGACATTCATTTATCCAGTTGAAAATGTTTTGAGATCAGCTTTACTTCCTTACAGAACAAGATCAGTCTACTGAACAAAGACATTGAAGATCAAAGAATAAAACTGGAAAGAGTTTCTAAACAGGTGAAGTAGTTTCTGGATGAAAAATAATTTAGCTATTTCGTATCCTTGTGTATACAAAAAGTACAGGATCTGCTCCGATTATTATGAAACACACCGCAGGCCCTAAACTTAACATAAGCAAACACATCACAAAAATCACTGTTTCGGTTGTTTTGCTCTCTTCATGTACTCCGCAACAGTTAGGGAGTTTGTTGTACTTAAAAACCTACAATTCTTTCCAATGTAAAAAAAAACCACATTATTTTTATACAGTAAGATTTAATAATTGCAGAATGCTCGTTACTCCAAGGAACTGCGAACAGCCAAAAAATCCAGAGACCCACTACCAGAAGAGGTTAGGAAAATAGTTTGATTATTAACACATTTTTTCCCTTTGATTTATACTACTAAAAATTGAAATAGTTATAAAATTAAAACTTTCAAAATGACATTTTACTAATGGCTCAGATTTACTGATGTAAACATTCACAGAAAGATTTTGAGGTGCGTGAGTTGAGGGAGTTTAACAAAAAAGTGATGAAAATGGTTGGGGAAGCAGTTGCAACTTATCCAGATATGTCCGAGGCTGTTACCTTATATTTTACTCAGGTGAGTTAATCTATTATCTGTTACCTTATATTTTACTCAGGTGAGTTAATCTATTAGCTGTTACCTTATATTTTACTCAGGTGAGTTAATCTATTAGCTGTTACCTTATATTTTACTCAGGTGAGTTAATCTATTAGCTGTTACCTTATATTTTACTCAGGTGAGTTAATCTATTAGCTGTTACCTTATATTTTACTCAGGTGAGTTAATCTATTAGCTGTTACCTTATATTTTACTCAGGTGAGGTAATCTATTAGCTGTTACCTTATATTTTACTCAGGTGAGTTAATCTTTTAGCTGTTACCTTATATTTTACTCAGGTGAGTTAATCTATTAGCTGTTACCTTATATTTTACTCAGGTGAGTTAATCTATTATCTGTTGCCTTATATTTTACTCAGGTGAGTTAATCTATTAGCTGTTACCTTATATTTTACTCAGGTGAGTTAATCTATTAGCTGTTACCTTATATTTTACTCAGGTGAGTTAATCTATTAGCTGTTACCTTATATTTTACTCAGGTGAGTTAATCTATTAGCTGTTACCTTATATTTTACTCAGGTGAGTTAATCTATTAGCTGTTACCTTATATTTTACTCAGGTGAGTTAATCTATTAGCTGTTACCTTATATTTTACTCAGGTGAGTTAATCTATTATCTGTTACCTTGTATATTAACTGTCTGTTAAACCCAGCCCTATGCCTGACTGAACACATAACTATCTTGAGTCCTTTGTTTTCAGGCCAACCTTCCAGCCTCAATGGGCAGCGCTAGCAGCGTTCCGGCAAGTTCTAGGGCCAGCAGTATAGGCAGTGCACGCTCAGGCTTCTCAGTGGGCTCCAAGGGGGTGGCATCAATCAACATTGGATTTGATGGTACCATTGTTTTCTTTCTTCATGTTAAACTCTATTGTAATCTTAGTTTGAGTTGTTTGTTACAGAATTATTTGTGTGACATCAAGCACTAATTTTTTTTTCAGAGTAAAATTTAGATTTGCTTTTTTTTATATAAAGATAAACTGTAATTGAATTTGAAGGAATTGAATTTGGATTTTTATCAACAACATGAACATAACTAATTAATTAAAAATTGTTACTTTCAATTTAATCACTGGCATAGGCAATACACTTAAATTGCAATTTTTATACCTACATTAGAGACTAAAATAGTCTTTGGCCTTATGGGCAAGTACCAAAAGAAACCTGTCTTTGTAAAAGTGTTTCGCTTAGGATAGTAACATTATATACCAGTCTGGCTAAGGGAATGGTACCATTATATACCAGTCTAAGGGAATGGTACCATTATATACCAGTCTAAGGGAATGGTACCATTATATACCAGACTGTTTAAGGGAATGGTACCATTATATACCAGTCTAAGGGAAAATAAATATACCAGTCTAAGGGAATGGTACCATTATATACCAGACTAAGGGAATGGTACCATTATATACCAGTCTAAGGGAATGGTACCATTATATACCAGACTAAGGGAATGGTACCATTATATACCAATCTAAGGGAATGGTACCATTATATACCAGACTGTCTAAGTGAATGGTACCATTATATACCAGTCTGTTTGGCTAAGGGAATGGTACCATTATATACCAGACTGTTTAAGGGAATGGTACCATTATATACCAGTCTGTTTGGCTAAGGGAATGGTACCATTATATACCAGACTGTTTAAGGGAATGGTACCATTATATACTAGACTGTCTAAGGAAATGGTACCATTATATACCAGACTGTTTAAGGGAATGGTACCATTATATACCAGTCTGTTTGGCTAAGGGAATGGTACCATTATATACCAGTCTGTTTGGCTAAGGGAATGGTACCATTATATACTAGACTGTTTAAGGGAATGGTACCATTATATACCAGTCTGTTTGGCTAAGGGAATGATACCATTATATACTAGACTGTCTAAGGGAATGGTACCATTATATACCAGACTGTTTAAGGGAATGGTACCATTATATACCAGACTGTTTAAGGGAATGGTACCATTATATACCAGACTGTTTAAGGGAATGGTACCATTATATACCAGACTAAGGGAGTGGTACCATTATATACCAGACTGGCTAAAGGAATGGTACCATTATATACCAGTCTGTTTGGCTAAGGGAGTTGTACCATTATATACCAGACTGGCTAAGGGAATGGTACCATTATATACCAGTCTGTTTGGCTAAGGGAGTGGTACCATTATATACCAGACTGGCTAAGGGAATGGTACCATTATATACTAGACTGGCTAAGGGAATGGTACCATTATATACCAGTCTATGTGCTAAACCACCTGTAAGCTAAACACATCTGACCTTGACCTCTGATCCCCAGGTCTCCCATCTCCACATGGCTCATCTGTCTCCAGCGCCAGAAGTTCTGCCAGCAAAATGAGTTCACGTCGCTAGCCTGAGCTCACATTGAGCCAAACAATTCAACCGTCCACCCATGTAGTGATATATTTATCAAGATATAAAGCAGTTGATGCAATTCTTGTGTGGTGTAAATAATTATTCTCAAACACTCTGGAATGTCATTTACATTTTATAGTTTGCAGGAATTTTCACTTTACTTTAAAGACTAAATAAAATCCATAAGAAAAAGAGTAATGGCTACAGATAACATTAGCTAGAATATTTTAAACTTTTTAAGGATAAGAAAGTAAAACTTATTTAATTATAAAGTGCCCATGCTGGATCTCACATAACTGTTCTGTTCACTAAGCACTGTTACCCACAATAGCCTACACAACTTGGTTCCTGCACTAGTTTTAGCCAGTGCATGATAAATGCTAATGCCAGTCACACATCGTTTTTTTTTAATTCGCAAAACATTTTAAAACAAAAAAAAGTATAAATAAACAATTACTTTTAATTGTGAATCTATACAAGCATCCGTTTGTTATATACAGTCATAAAGAATACAATCTAATGCCTGACAAAATCTTTAAAATACATAGAGATAGTTAACATGAGGTTTTTAATTATGCCCACTTTGAATATTTTAACTACAAGAAAACATTATTTAAATGCAATAAACACATAACAGTTAATGCCAATTACCAAAACATGATAAAAATGTTATCAAGTAAAAAATCCCATAGAAATATCAGTACAATTTTTACTTTTTAAAAATAAATGCTTAATAAAGACTATTAATATTATTTTTAATCTGTATATTATGTTAAACAAAACATGCTTTTTTATTTAAAAATGAACTATGTATCAGTAAATGTTGAATGAACAACATTGTATGTATAATGTTTAGTTTTAAGTTTACTTAGAGCTGGTACATATTAAACAGAGCTGTCACTGTTTGTGGCTCCAAGAAAATTGTGTTTTGCATACAAATTTTACATGAAATTAAATGATTCATTTTTTAACTAAGTATTAATTAAGTTATATGTTATTTTCTACTAGAGACATTACATATTCATCACATGTAATTTTAAACCAAAAGTGCCATATTTACTGTATTTTCCAAAAAATATTCATCAACTTCATATCAATAAGTAACAACTGCACGATATTTAATTTTTTAAACTCTTTTTTTCAATTGTTACCAAAATCTCATTTAACCAGGACCACTAAAAATTCATGCCTTATTTAACAGTATAGGCAGGCAAAGAGCACTGAAGAAGATGTGAAGGGCACAATATTCCAAAATTTTCTCACAGCGAAGACGTAGGATTAAGAACAGTTAAACATGACTTAAGACAGATGAGTCAATGACTTTTATGACTTGGGAGAAAAAAAGCTGAGCATACTCTTCATCCCTGATTTATCCACTTTACTCAGTCTTTTCTGTGCGGCACTCAGCTTCCCAGTCTGAAATTACAATGTTAGCTCATGCAATGTAGAATCTAATTCATAAAGTAAAGGACCATAATATTATTAGCTCATACAATGTAAAACCTAATTCATAAAGTAAAGGAACATAACCATAATATTATTAGCTCATACAATGTAGAATCTAATTCATAAAGGACTATTACCATAATGTTATTAGCTCATACAATGTAGAACCTAATTCATAAAGGACCATAACCATAATATTATTAGCTCATACAATGTAGAATCTAATTCATAAAGTAAAGGAACATAACCATAATATTATTAGCTCATACAATGTAGAATCTAATTCATAAAGTAAAGGACCATAATATTATTAGCTCATACAATGTAGAACCTAATTCATAAAGTAAAGGAACATAACCATAATATTATTAGCTCATACAATGTAGAACCTAATTCATAAAGTAAAGGACCATAATATTATTAGCTCATACAATGTAGAACCTAATTCATAAAGTAAAGGACCATAATATTATTAGCTCATACAATGTAGAATCTAATTCATAAAGTAAAGGACCATAATATTATTAGCTCATACAATGTAGAATCTAATTCATAAAGTAAAGGACCATAACCATAATATTATTAGCTCATACAATGTAGAACCTTATTCATAAAGTAAAAGACCATAACCATAATATTATTAGCTCATACAATGTAGAATCTAATTCATAAAGTAAAGGACCATAACCATAATATTATTAGCTCATACAATGTAGAACATAATTCATAAAGTAAAGGACCATAACCATAATATTATTAGTTCATACAATGTAGAACCTAATTCATAAAGTAAAGGACCATAACCATAATGTTATTAGCTCATACAATGTAGAACCTAATAGGCTAAAGGACTGTAACCATAATATTATTATAAGATCATATAAAGTAAAAAGGTAATGTGCTGAGCAAACAATAAATGATATCTTGTAAGTTATTACCTTGGACTTGTCCTTTTTAAGGTCATAACCCACACTGTAATCTTCAGTAGGTGTCAAGTCTCCAACCTTAGCTTTCTGATCATTTAAAAAAATTGATAGAAAATATTTTACATTTAGTTATCTATGAATTGGAAAATGTTTATCATACTGAAATTTTTAGTAAATTATAGCTTTCTGAGAATCAGATTTTTTTTTCATAACAATATCTTAAAATAACTATTTACTTAACTAAAATAAAAAACCATAATTGCATCAAATTAATGTAGGCTAATAATTGACAATATTTATTACCTTAAGTGGGGGTTCATTCTCTACAGTTAAATCAGGTGTGGGAATATTCTCAGCAGTTTCAGGTATTCTAGATTAAAAAAAGGTAGCAAATTAGTGTTAGCAGATGAGTGTGCAAACAGTTATATCCAACAAATGAACTAAAGAATAAAAAAGGCAAATTCATCTACCCTAAATAAGTTTTAAGTCTCTCTTCCAATGCCACTGGTAAGTAGTCACAGATGATACCAAAAGCATATTCAGTATATGAATCTAAGACAAGTATGAAATAAATTTTAATAACAAATAGTATTTATGCTAGACTATTCTATGTAAAGAATAGTATGACTAATGCATACAAAAAAGAAGAGTTAAATACAAATGTTTAAGTAATGTAAAATTATTTTAAGACAATTTTTAATGACTAAGTTACTATAATACATTTTGTAACCGGCATATGTGCTGATCTGTAATATGTTATCTGGATTACAAACCTTTGGATATCTCAGAGCCTTTGCTGCGAACAAAAAAGGTACTGTGCGCGCCTTTGGTGCTGACTTGAACATTTTTTTCTTCTAAAACATCTGTTAATGTCTCCGTCTGCAATGTTATTTAAATTTTTAACTAACGTCTGCAATGGTATTTAAATTTTTAACCAACAATGGAAAATCTTCAAATATAAATATTTATTTATAACTAAACTCTTAAAGCTGAAGTTACTCTAAGCTTTTATAAACCCACCTTAATTTTAAGCCAATTTAAAGTTTTGTCTAGATTGTAACGATATACTCTAGTGCTGTCATCAATATCTGCAATAAATAGAAAGTTGAGGTCAACAATTGTAACAATATCTACAACACCGTGTTCAGCATCTAGGGATTAAAACTTGATAGTCAAAAAGTAAGGAATCAAACCTTTAATTTAACAGGTAACATACCTTTCCAATCAGTGACTAGTTCCAGTTGATCATCTATGCAACACGTCAACAATTTGTGGCAGTCTGGAAAATCCTCATCCGCAACAATCTGGTCCAGCTTCATGAAGCGCTTATTCTTTTTTTAAAATAAATTTGTAAATACTTGTAAGTTGTTCAAAAGTAAAAGGACAACAGAGTTCAGAACAATTTTTACATGATAGAAATATGTTTACCTCTCCAGCATTGATTAGGTAGGGCAGAATTAAAAATAAAGGATCAACAGGTGTAGTTAAAAAAATGTGACCGTCTGAAAATAAACAAACATCTCAAGTTTACTATACGATTGTATAGCAATAAAATATATCAAGTAGTTTTGCTTAATTTTTGTGAAAAGTGACAATTATTGTTTTCTGTGAATGATTCAAAATGTCAACAGACAATATTTTAAACAAACTTTCAACTTGGGGCTCAATGGATTACAGTGGTAAAGCAAACTACACTCGCAACATGAAGGTTAAAAGGTGACATTTATAAAACCTTGTTGAAAAGTAAAATAACAAAGCCACTTGTTTTTTAATTTTTAATATAAACTATTCTTTAAAAAGGGCTAAAATTATTTCTCAGGCCTACATTAAAGCTATGTATATTTACCACTGTGAACTGTATCTCCAAAAAACCAAGATCTGTATTTTTCTTTGAAACAGTTAACTTCATAGATACCAGTGTGTTCTGCAGATACCAGGTACACAGTACCTGAATCTTGAAAAGGATAGGGCAATATTAATTAATTAACTGGCCAATATATTAATCAAATCCATTTTTATAAAAGAAATAAATTAAAATTAGGCCATGATTACAATTAGAGTAATATTTTTTTATTATTGAAATAGCCTTATAAATTACATATAGGCCTAAAGAATAACATATTCTGATGTTCAAAATTCAACACAAACAAAAAGAAAATACATGTTAGTGTTAAAGTTGCATGATAACATTTTATACTGAAACATTATCTTAAAGAACATCTTACTTAAACGTGGATGTCTCAGCTTACAAAGTGTCGGCATCGCTTCTTGTGTACAGTTGGACACATTGATAACCTCATCTGTACATAGATAATTTTTATAACAGATTATCAAACTCTACAAGTTTCATCAGCATTTTGATATAAACAGCTATATCTACATAATACAAAAATTGTAGCATTAATTCGTTAAAAAATGCTTTTAGTAAATTAAACATTTGATTTCAAATTTCTGCATAAGCTAAGGAGCAGTTAGTTTTATGTCCATAAAAAATTACCATTAATAATAAATATCCAGCTGTCCTTCTGTTTCTCGACAGCTTTGCTTTTGGAATTTTTCTTTGGTTCAGAGTTACTTTTTTCTCTTGTTGGGCGTGGCATGTTTACAATCAAATTATTTCAAAATCTAAAAATACAGTGAAATGTAAGTTTATAAAAAGTAAATAGGCTTAATACATTACTGAAAGTAATGAAAAATTATAAGGTATTTAACTATCATGACTACATCAAATTCAATATTTTTAAATCCAAAAAGGTAAGAATTTTTTAAACATCAATCAAAGCATGACTATACTAATAGATGTATTGTCCTACATAGTAAAATAACTAGACAACTTGTTAAAAAGTAGGTCAGACCTAATGTAAGAAATTGCGGGGAATGTCCCTGATAAAATTAAATCATAAATTGTGGTAACCAAAATTAAATTAGAGGGACAGCCTAGACACAGCAGAGCTTCAGTTTGCCTGGTCATGTTTTATACACACTTTTTTTTAAAATGATAACTTCATGTTTATAATTTAAAGTAAAAGTTTAATGAAAACACAGCAGAGCTTCAGTTTGCCTGGTCATGTTTTATACAAACTTTTTTTCAAATGATAACTTCATGTTTAAATTTAAAAGTAAAAGTTTAATGAAAACAGGAATGCCTAGCAAATAGGATTGGGTTCCTATAAGTATGAGTATCATTATGGAGATATGCTAGACTGGAGTCACTTGGAGAAGATGAAAATGAAAGAAGGCCTGCCAAGGAAATCCTGGAGAAGAACAGTAGAAGAAGAGGCAAGGACTGCGTGATTTGTGGGTGTAGTGTACATAAAGATTAAAGAGAGCTACCCACAAAACCGCGTTTGGTGAAGAATTTAGATTTGATTTTCATCCAGAACAGAGAACTAAAAAATAAAATCATGAGTTAAGTATTAAGTAAGACTAATGACTACCTAAGAGACTAGAGATCTACAAAACAAAAGTTGTGACTGGTTTTGTATGTAGATCCACTGATTTAGATCCAACTAAGCAAGTTATACATTAGGCCAATATATTATATAATATATATTAGGCCTATATACTATATATATATTACTATAATATAATATATGGTACAGTGTAGTATAAAGTATAATGTATAGATCTAGTATAAATTAAAGTATAATATTAATAATAAAAAAAAGAGCAAGTCAAGTGATTGTTTGTAGTTTGTGACACTACAAGTTACAGTGTACTTGTAATGTCAATGACTGTAGCCTGTACTGACTACACAGACAGTGAGACACTACTCAAGCACTCAAAGAATCTTTGACAAAGATTCAGACACTGGACAGACTGTCTGAGCTGAGACAGTCAGTCTGTCCAGTCACATTTCTGACTTTGGATTTGGTCATTGTTGCTGTGTTAAACTTAAAATGTAGATCTAGATCTAGAATCTAGATCTATATAGGCCTCGGATATCCAGCGCAATGTATTATGTATATACGTAACTTTGTAAGCCAGGCGCATACTATACTGTCTGTATGTATAGGCCTATACAACTTAATTAATAATTAAAGTTAAAGTAATTTATTTAGGCCTACAAACAATAACAACATACAATCGTAATGTTGGCGCTCTCTTTTTCTCTAATTACCGAGAAACAGCGTGTCGTCATAAATCACAAACGCATATGATAAGCCTACCCTAACTTAATACAAAGTTCTTCTATATATTGCCAAAATACTAAATATATATTATCTATACAATAGATATATCTAAGTCTACGTGTATTGTTTAATTATAATTTAATAGGTATTCTTATAAGGCCTAGCTAAATAGTTTTAATAGATTGCTTTGCTCGTTGTATACGTGTGGGATTTAAAACGAAGGCCCTAGCTCTAAGTCACGGGTTCCCAACCTGGGGGTCGCGACCCCCCTAGGGGTCGCGAAGGGCTTTCTGGGGGGTCGCCAACTGGTATACTAAGTCTTAGTAATTTGAAACAAAACATAAATATTTAGAAGAATTTTTGAAATTCGGCTTTACTAACATCACTGGAAATGTAATAGAGAAGAAGCAAAGCGCACTGTACAAAGTTGTTCTCAGTCACGAGTTTATGAAATCGTCAAAACTAAAACGTCATTTGACACGAGTCATTCGAAACACACCAAAAAAGATATGGAGTTCTTTCGTCGTTATGAAGCAGTTGCAAACGTCAGAGACTTGATCGAACAGGAAGTTTTCACCAAGGAAACTCAGCATTAGTGCAAGCATCACATGAAGTCGCGACAGAAAATGCCAAGCAGAAAAAAAAACACAATAGGAGAAAATCTCGTCAAACGCAGCATTTTGAAGATGGTGAAGTTAATTCTTACATGTCCGTAGATGTTAAATAACACATTTTTATTGAAATTAAGCTTTCACCATTGTTTGCTTTCCAAGTTAAAAAATCAACAGACGTGAGTTCGTGTTCGCAGTTGCTGGTCTTTGTCTATATTTATTCAGATGATAGCAAAGAAGAGTTGCTCTTTTGTGAAGATAGCATGGAGAAAATAAATACGTTTTTTTAAAAAAATGGATGATTAAAATGGGTTAAAACGGCTGCGATGGTCCACCATCTATGTTTAGGTCAAAATCGGGCTTTCAGAAAGCAGAAAGCAGAAAAGATTTAGCTCCCTAACCACTGCCCTCACCAATTACCATCAAGACTCCATTGCTAGTATAAGTCGTAAATTATATAAAATCTGGAGCCTTCAAAGAAATGAGCAAAGACCTGAATAAAGATCACGAGGTCCTGCTCTTCTACACTACAGTGCGCTGGCTGTCAAACGAATTGTTGTGAATCGTGTTTTTGAATTGAAATCTGAAATCAAATTGGTCTTGGAAATGCAAAGGAAACAAGACCTTTTGGTATATATAAAACGACGTAGAGTGGTTGGAGAGAGTATCATACCTTGCAGATGTGTTCGAACATCAACATAAGCATTACCTGAAGCTTCAGGGAAAATGAACGAATATTATCACTTTCCATGATAATCTCGGGGCATTTTTATCAAAGCTGCAAAATCGGCGAAGAAAATAAATCTTGGAAATATTGTAAATTTGAGAAACTCTGCAGTGTGGTAGATGAATCTAATTGTGAGATAATTAAAATTTTGAAAGAAGAATTTTCTGGGCATCTTGAATCTATTGAAAACGAACTGCAGCGCTATTTCTCTGAGCTGAAAAAAAAAAGAATCTGCATTGACACATTACCCATTCTCTTTTTCCCTTGATGTTGCCAGCATTCCCGATGAATTACAAGATGAATTCTTTGATTTGTAGAATGATTCCGCGTAAGATGAAAAAATTCAGACACAATTTTGGTGTAGTATTAACCATTTATATCCAAACGTAAAATTGATTGACTTTTCGAGAATATATTTTTTTGAACACTATTTTTCGATTAAAAACAAAATTAACATAATGATAATGACATAGGTTGGCGTTAACAAAAAAAATACTTTATAAAAAAAATTAACCAAGAATGTTTAGTGAATAGTATGCAATTTTACTCATGGTATTAAAACAGTTATCAAGAGTAGTTCATATTGAAAGTCTACTAGAAAATCTTATTTTAGTGCTTATTGATTTCCATACTAATTTCGGCTTTTTAATTCTATGGGGGTCGCGGGTCACTTAATTTTTTATAAAAGGGGTCGCCACTCGAAAAAGGTTGGGAACCACTGCTCTAAGTGATAAATCCGTAAATTTAAAAAATAAAATAAGTGAAAAATAACTATAAGTATATAATGTAACGAGCTACTACAGTTTGAACATTTAAATTGTATTTTTTGGAAGAAAGGAATCAAAGACACATAGGGCCTAACACAAAATAAAGTTTTTTTTTTAAAAGTATTATACAATAAAATTTATTTTCAAATAATGAAATATTAACCTAAGAAAGATAAATTATATGTAAGGGGGGGGGGGGGTGTAGTTTTTACCGATATAAGGGTTAGGTTGGGTTGGGTGGTGATGATATAGTCACCCATCAGTGCATCGTCATTGGGGCAAGGAGGATTACCAAACCTGAGCAAACTACTGACTAAATCTATACCTAATCATTGGTGCTAAACTAATATTCAAACTTAACACACAGTCCAATACATTTATTAGACGTCACATAGGTTTACATGTTAAATGAAAACAATACAAATAAGACACTGCCCGATTTTCATATTAAAGGGAAAAAATCACTTGAAATAGTAATACAAGCCAAAAGACAAAAAAAAATCAAACTTACACATTTCAACTGGTGGGTACCCACCTCCCATGCCCCCAGTACCCACCTCCCCTGCCAACAGTACCCACCTCCCACTGCCCCCAGTACCCACCTCCCCTGCCCCTAGTACCCACCTCCCCTGCCACCAGTACCCACCTCCCCTGCCACCAGTACCCACCTCCCCTGCCCCCAGTACCCACCTCCCCTGCCCCCAGTACCCCCTCCCCTGCCACCAGTACCCACCTCCCCTGCCACCAGTACCCACCTCCCCTGCCACCAGTACCCACCTCCCCTGCCCCCAGTACCCACCTCCCCTGCCACCAGTACCCACCTCCCCTGCCACCAGTACCCACCTCCCCTGCCCCCAGTACCCACCTCCCCTGCCACCAGTACCAACCTCCCCTGCCACAAGTACCCACCTCCACTGCCACCAGTACCCACCTCCCCTGCCATCAGTACCCACCTCCCCTGCCAACAGTACCCACCTCCCCTGCCCCCAGTACCCACCTCCCCTGCCCCCAGTACCCACCTCCCCTGCCACCAGTACCCACCTCCCCTGCCCCCAGTACCCACATCCACCAGTACCCACCTCCCCTGTCACCAGTACCCACATCCACCAGTACCCACCTCCCCTGTCACCAGTACCCACATCCACCAGTACCCACCTCCCCTGCTACCAGTACCCACCTCCCCTGCCACCAGTACCCACCTCCCCTGCCACCAGTACCCACCTCCCCTGCCCCCAGTACCCACCTCCCCTGCCACCAGTACCCACCTCCCCTGCCCCCAGTACCCACATCCACCAGTACCCACCTCCCCTGTCACCAGTACCCACATCCACCAGTACCCACCTCCCCTGCCCCCAGTACCCACCTCCCCTGCCAACAGTACCCACCTCCCACTGCCCCCAGTACCCACCTCCCCTGCCCCTAGTACCCACCTCCCCTGCCACCAGTACCCACCTCCCCTGCCACCAGTACCCACCTCCCCTGCCACCAGTACCCACCTCCCCTGCCACCAGTACCCACCTCCCCTGCCCCCAGTACCCACCTCCCCTGCCCCCAGTACCCCCTCCCCTGCCACCAGTACCCACCTCCCCTGCCACCAGTACCCACCTCCCCTGCCACCAGTACCCACCTCCCCTGCCCCCAGTACCCACCTCCCCTGCCACCAGTACCCACCTCCCCTACCACCAGTACCCACCTCCCCTGCCCCCAGTACCCACCTCCCCTGCCACCAGTACCAACCTCCCCTGCCACAAGTACCCACCTCCACTGCCACCAGTACCCACCTCCCCTGCCATCAGTACCCACCTCCCCTGCCAACAGTACCCACCTCCCCTGCCCCCAGTACCCACCTCCCCTGCCCCCAGTACCCACCTCCCCTGCCCCCAGTACCCCCTCCCCTGCCACCAGTACCCACCTCCCCTGCCACCAGTACCAACCTCCCCTGCCACCAGTACCCACCTCCCCTGCCACCAGTACCAACCTCCCCTGCCACAAGTACCCACCTCCCCTGCCCCCAGTACCCACCTCCCCTGCCACCAGTACCCACCTCCCCTGCCACCAGTACCAACCTCCCCTGCCACAAGTACCCACCTCCACTGCCACCAGTACCCACCTCCCCTGCCATCAGTACCCACCTCCCCTGCCAACAGTACCCACCTCCCCTGCCCCCAGTACCCACCTCCCCTGCCCCCAGTACCCACCTCCCCTGCCACCAGTACCCACCTCCCCTGCCCCCAGTACCCACATCCACCAGTCCCCACCTCCCCTGTCACCAGTACCCACCTCCCCTGTACCCACCTCCCCTGCCACCAGTACCCACCTCCCCTACCACCAGTACCCACCTCCCCTACCACCAGTACCCCCCCTCCCATGCCACCAGTACCCACCTCCCCTGCCACCAGTACCCACCTCCCCTGCCACCAGTACCCACCTCCCCTGCCCCCAGTACCCACCTCCCCTGTACCCACCTCCCCTGCCACCAGTACCCACCTCCCCTGCCACCAGTACCCACCTCCCCTGCCACCAGTACCCACCTCCCCTGCCCCCAGTACCCACCTCCCCTGCCACCAGTACCCACCTCCCCTGCCCCCAGTACCCACATCCACCAGTACCCACCTCCCCTGTCACCAGTACCCACATCCACCAGTACCCACCTCCCCTGTACCCACCTCCCCTGCTACCAGTACCCACCTCCCCTGCCAACAGTACCCACCTCCCCTGCCCCCAGTACCCACCTCCCCTGCCACCAGTACCCATCTCCCCTGCCACCAGTACCCACCTCCCCTGCCACCAGTACCCACCTCCCCTGCCAACAGTACCCACCTCCCCTGCCCCCAGTACCCACCTCCCCTGCCCCCAGTACCCATCTCCCCTGCCCCCAGTACCCAC